CGCCCCATAGCGCTGACATCCTTCTTTTGGCGCGCGGGTGCCCGCATCCTGTGCGGGCGTATGCAAGCGTGGATTGCATCGTGGTGCTCGCCCCAGGCTGCTGGAGGAGCCCCAGGCAAAGGCACCACTGACGCTCATGGCGTCATCTTGCAGAGCTGGCACCAGGGTGCCAAAGCCTACATTCAACAAGACTTATCCGCGTATTTTGACAGCATCAGGCTCCCACAGCTGCTCACCATTCTTGACCACATGCGGGCCCCGCCGTGCCTGGGCAGGCTGCTGGCATCGTTCTACAGCAATGCTCAAAGATTATTCAAGGTCTCCAAAGTCACCAATGGAAGGTGGAGGACGCCTTCTAAAGGTCTTCTGCAGGGGTGCCCCTTGTCTCCCCTGTGCGCCCTTTTGATCGGCAACGTGTGGCATGCTTACGTCACCCGGGGCGGTCCCACCAAGGCGCTTATCTTCGTTGATGATAGGCTCTTATGGGCGCCGCCAGGGGCCAGGGACGTGGAGGCGGCTCTCGTGGATGGGGTGACGCGTAGTAATTTCTTTGATAAGGTCATGAATTTTACCTGCCGTCCCTCGAAGTGCGCGATTGTCGAGCCTAAGGCCCGCCCCAAGCTGGGTACACTAGCGGCACAGTTGGGATATCCGACCCGTCACCGTTTGGAAATTTTGGGCCTCACTGTTGAGCTTGACAGTGGGAAAACCGGCTTGCTTAAGCTGAGTGTTGACACCCTCCAGGCTCGCCTTCGCGCCCTAAACATCCTGAACCCCTCTTTCGGTGTGGCAAGAGTCGTGTGTTCCAGTTTGGTTTTCGCTGCTCTGGCTTGGGCTGCGGGCATAGCAGCCCCGGAAGCGAAGGATCTCACCGCCATCAGGAAGTCGGTCCACCGAGCCCTCAAACCTCAGATCACAGGCGAAACTCCGTGGGTCCTCCTAGCCGAAGTCCACGGATGGCAGTGGGACCCCAAATGGCTTTTGCAATGGAGGGCCTTAGGTGCAGTTGGGAGACATGTGACAAGGGGTGCAGCTCAAAGTGCCAACCCGGTGCAGGCTGTCCTCCCCCATGCCGTCAGCACCGCCACCGACTTGGGCTGGACACTTGAACTCAACGGCGCCGCCATCTCTCGAGTCGACGATGCCGGGCAGACACGACGTTTTTGTTTCGGGTGGCAGAACATCCAAGTTTTGCGCGACTGGCTCACCGAAGAGCACCGCAAGCGAGGCATCGCAAACTGTGGACGTGTCAAGACCTCTTACCACCGTGCAGAGGTAGGCCTTGCTATGGGCCTAAATCTCGATGCACCGTGCCCGAGCATCCGCTTCGCCCTGGCTGGCCACAGACTTCTCGGACAGAGTCAGACACTTGATGTTCGCCGAGCCTCTCTTGCCACAGGCGGGTCGGCCTGGTACCACCGTCAGCGCCTCCCTTCTATGCGTGAGTCTGAGGTCAAATGCCTGTGCAATCTCTCCTGGCCCTCGCGAGCCCACGTGACGTGGGTATGCCCAAAGACAGTTGTGCACAGGCAGGGTCTCCGGACCCCCACGAACAGAGTAGAAGAAAGGCTTTTTGGAGCCCCGCTGCCGGAATATCCGGCTGCCCCTGGTGGCAACCAGGTCCCGGCCATGATACAGGCTTTGCGGACCCACTTTTGCCAGGTCCTGACACCAGATGCTGATAACCTTCTCGTTGCCAGCGATGGAAGTCATCACCTTGGTGTGGGTGCTTGTGCAGTGGTGACGGAGAGTTCAGGAGACACTTTCTCCGCAGGGGATGATGCGGAAGACCAATCTCCCTTTCGCTACGAGATGATCGGTTTGAATGCCCTCCTGCAGGCTCTTCCCCTTGGAAAGAGGTACAACAACTCCACGGTGACAATCCTGGTCGACTGCCAAAGTGCCTTGGACTCGGTCCAGAGCCCCGCCACCAGCAAGCTTCGGTGCCTGGCGGAGGAGTCGGCTTCTCTTTTGCGGGCACTCCGTCGGGACTACAAAGCAGTACACCTGGTGTGGGTCCCTTCGCACAACAAGCGACTCGACTGGCAACCGCCTCTTGATCTTGATGATCGCCGGTGCCGTGATTTGAACGACAAGGCAGACCGGGCAGCCAACCAAAGACGTGACTCACGAGCTCATGGCTCCTCTCGAGTGGCGTGGCATCGTCGCTTTGAAGAAGCTGAGCGATGGGAAGTTGCTGCCATCTCGGCGGCAGCCGCGTCCTCTGCCCTTCTGTACGAGCACCTTCAACGATCGGTTTCCCCTCCCTAGGACGGCTTTCCTTTCGATTTTTAGGCCTTTTCCCTCGGTGTGCGCTGCAAAGCTGCACCCACCACGTCGCCGTCGTGTGCCAAACCGCCTTGCCACCCCTCGCGTGTGGTTCCCTAGTGTTGGTTTAGGCCCACCCCTTAAAGACCATGTGCGCTCATGCAAGCCCCACCCTTTCGGGTTTGCTTGGGTTTAGGCCTCACCTTTCCCTTAGTTGTGCAGTTGGCGTGACCCCGACTCAGCACGAGCATGCTTGACCACTCCCCCCTTTGTGTGGTTTCCCTAGTGTTGGTTTTAGGCCCACCCACCTGACTGTCTCGACGAGCTCCTGCAAGCCCTCACCCTTGAGTCCTCGTGCTGAGCCTACCGAGCGTCGTGAGTGCTGTGCCTTGCCCTACCACCTCCCCCGGTGGTCACTTGTGTTGGCCTAAGCCCCTCTTAATGCCTGAGCGAGCTCCCGATGGATTCTCGTTCCCAGATGCTTGGAGCTGGGCTCAGCCGCTTACCATGCCACTCCCAGTATGTGGGTCTTATGTTGGGGTTAGGCCTCACCCAGGTTCTCGTAGGAGCTTGCTCTGAGATGCCCTCAGCAGTACTGCCCTTTAACTGTGTTGGCCTCCCTCCTTGACCGTACTTTCACGTTTCTAGTAGGCTAAGCGGTGGTTTCCCCATTCTTGCGCTTGTGCACCGCCCGGTGCCTCTCAGGGGACGGTGGCGAGGCCCCTGCAGCCTGCTTTCTTTCTTCATGCTAAAGCAACAGGGAGCGTAGACCCCAGGTCTGCGCTAAAACTTGACGCAACCTGCTTGGACCTGCTCTTCCAAGCAGGGTTTTCTTGGCGGCTTCGGGCTTCGAAGCACCTTCCTGCACTACCTCGTCGAGGCCTCACGGTGGCTGCTGTGGCTGAGGCGCTGTGGCTGCTGCGCTGGGGCCGCTGCGACTGCCGCTGTCTCCTGGAGCTGAGTTCCTACAGCAAGTCCCACTGAGAACGAGAGTAGTTTCGTGACCGTAGTCTCGTAGCTTCTGACTAGAGTCAACTTGGTTACACATGCTAAAGTATGGTGCCGAGGACTCTTCGTCGTAGTAGCCTCTGTCTTCCTGAGACACCTGGCTCTTGTAGTATCCCTGCTAACGCTTTTTTGCTTCGCTTTGCTGTTTCGCATGGGGGAATGTGAAAGTAGCAAGGCCAGTAGCAGCTCTCGCTTCTTGTACAGCCGAGCCTTTCGTTGCACAGTGACGAATGGACAACGAGACGACATGAACCTGCAGCGGCGAGGGACCTGCGCGCCTGCTCTCCATGGTAGGTGCAAGGGCTCTTGTCGTGACACCGTGAGTACGGAGAACAGGCCCTGCCGGGCTTGCCCGGCGGCGCTGTTTAGAGTAAACGTTTTGGGTGGGCGGGGCGGGGTGTCTCTGTGGGTAGGAGGAGTTCCCTCGACTAGACCAACTCGAAGATCTCCGCAGTTTCAAAGAGAAAAGTTTTATTTAGCAGTTTTGAGTTTCTATTTTATTTTACGTATCGTGCGCTTTTCAGAATTGAGCCAGAAGCTGAGTGCGCGCACAATCTCAATGCTTATCATGGACGCAGAGCTCAGGCTCAGGAGCAGGGAAAATTTTGATTCCCACCCTCCACTCCCTTGTAGATACTGTGGTCTCAAACCACGTGGGCTGGGGGGGCACAGGCACACAGGTGCGCCTTCCCGACACGTCAAAGACCTGTTCAAGAATTAGATGCCTGCGTGAGCCTGCCGCCATCCGTTTGAAAACATCCTGCGTGCTCCTTTCGGCAGTTGCTATCTCTTTAGATATTCATCATTAAGTGGCGAGGATACATTTGATTGGAGTCCCAATAGGCGAAAGCAAGATATGAGAATTTATACCCCATATATTCTCCGGGGATATCGTCGGTGCATTTATACCTTCGCCGATATTTCCGTTTGCCCAATATATCTTCTGGGCAATAAAATTTCTGATGAGGGAACTGAGTTTTGTAAACTTCGCTCACAGCGCCCTTCCTAAACACAACGGTTACGGAGAACAGCTGTTCTGCAACAGGCTCGTGATGGTACGCTACATGTACAATCGCTCACTCTGTCCATGCTGACGGACGAGCTTAGGCTGGAACTGCTCTCACATTGTGCGTGTTGTAGACAGTGGATGCCCAACTCCAGATACGTCAAGATGCACTGGAATCGAGTGCACAAAGCTGAATCCCAACAGTTTCAGGCTCGTACACTGCAGTGGCGTCGTCTTTCTTTTGAGCCCATTAAAACCACCTGTCCTTGGTGTCAGGGAACAACTGCGGAACGCTCGGATCATCGGGACACCTGTCCGGTCCTCTTTCAGCTCAGTATGGTTCGGGCCATCATTCTTTCTGCAGGCGAGGCTGTATCCCCGGAGGCTGAGACAATGATGCCGGACATGACTCTTCCAGCAAAGGACGACATACCGCCATGGAACATGGAGTGTATGCTGTGCCGCGAGTCATGCACTGCCAGAGGGTTGCGCAAACATTTCGATCAGAAGCACCACGTGATTTGGAATCAGGCTCAACCTAAAGTTGACTTGCTTTGTGCGGCTTGGGCAAAGGGACTTGAAACCAAATGTCAGTTTTGCAACAGTACCTACAACAAACGCAATCGGCATGCCATCACTTGTCCTGCTGTTACACAGACCGCCCTGGCGCGTGTGTTGAGCTATACCTCAGCCCCGGCAACGAGTGCACCCCCGACTGATGGCGACCGCAATGACACCCGGAGCAGCACAGGCAGCGCTTCAGGAAGTGTTCGGATCCTTGGTTGCGGAGAACGGGCCGCTGATGGACTTCGGAACGGGCTCCAACATAGGCAAGCGCAACTCGGAGAATCCACTGGGGCCCCTAACGAGCCGACCAGCCAAAACGGGCCGCCTCAACAACGGCCAAAAGGGCGGGCGCGGCAAAGGAGGGCGACCGTGGCAACAGCAGGGCAGACGCTTTGTTTCAGGGCCCAGCAACCAGCAGCCGCAGCAGCAGGAGGAGGTGAGCATGGAAGACCTGTTGCGACTTCTATCTTCGATCATCATGCGACACGAAGACCAGCTGAAGATTCTGAGACAATCAACGGGTTGGGTGCTGTTCGCGAAAACAGCATCTCCGTCCATTGTACCGGGGATCCTCAAGGCCTCCCTGAAGTGGAAGGACGACGTGGTCAAGCCGGACTGCAAGTTCGCACACGTGAGCTTGCGAGCAATCCTCTTCTGGAATCTGATGGAGCAGATGTTAACGGTGCTACAGGGTCTCACGCAGGAAACGAAGGCCAAGGCTGTGGAAGAGGGGTGGATGAACAGTGCGGGTGCTTGGGTGTTTCAGGAGTGGTCGCACGAGAAGCACTGCCTGCAGATCGACAGCTCCAGGGATCCAACAACGACGGAGGATCTCCTCAACATCCTGCGCGAACTGAAGACGCTCGCGACCTCAGAGGTGATCTCGGCGTTCTTTTCGAATCGGCCGCTGACGGAACACATGCAAGGACACATGGTAGTGTTCCAGCTGGATGTGTCGTTCAGAAAAGAGGTGGCGCATCGCTTCTACGTGTTGCTGGAAGCTCTTCAAGGACAGGCCTCCCTTCAACTGTGCGGTGTCCAACTGCGCAAAGAGGGCTTCCGGAGATCGCCGGCGGTGCAGAAGCTGGCAGAGATGCTTCGTTGAGGACGCTCATCCTGCGCAACCCTTCCAATTACTGCTACATGAATTCAGTGATGCGGTGCTTATTATGGACCATTGTGCAGGATCCTACGCTTGACGGCTCCTTCGGCAGTGCCGGGCTCACCTTTCTTAAGAAACTACTGCAACACACACAACCCGTGTTCATTGCAGGTCAGCTGATGTTCAACTTCGCTCTCCGCGGATGGAGGTCACCGGCAATACAACACGATTGCGCAGAGTTCTTTTCACACATCATTGACCGCTTTGGCATCACAGCATTTGAAGGTGAGTGGGAAGCTCGTACAACAGTTGAGGACTCTCCGGGACAGTTTCGATGTGAGCGCTCCGACACTGGTCAGTGCACGGAGGCGATATCAATCGACCTACCTGCGGGGCGTGTGCATACTGCTCAGTATCTTCTACATTGCTGGCACACGCAAGCTCACCCACATGCCTTGAAGGTCGCACCGGCTCTTTTGCTGCTGCGCTTTTCTCGATATGTACAGGCGGGCCGAAGGATCAGAAAATGTGATTGCAAGATTACTTGGCCGCGACAACTTCACCTGCCACTTTTCAGGGGGAACGATGATCTTACATCAGGCACGGTTGCCTACGATGTGCTGGCCGCCATCTCACATCATGGTCCCACCCTGAGTGCGGGCCACTATACAACTTTGCTCCATGCGGCAGGGGGCGATCTTCATTGCGATGACAATACCGTTCCAGAGTTCAGGGTTAAGGCCTCAGATGACACTACTCCTTATTCGTCCAGTACAGTTTATCTTTTGTTGTGCAGGCGCACAACGGAGTCCGGCCCTTTGGTGGTCGGGTGAATGTGAACTTCTTCATTTGGGGATCCACAACTCTGCCAGCACAGGTCACTCCTGGGGTGACGAGAGTGACGGTCCAATGGTTGTGGAATGTTTTCTCAGGGATATCTGCTCTCAGTGCAAAATCAGTGGAGCTTGCTAATGCTTTCAGTGCGACCGTGCATCAGCGTGACTCTTGATTCTACAAGGTGTACAGTTGAGCATGCTCGCCGGTGCACCCAGTTCCAGCTTATCATTCGTACAGCGCCTGCATGAACATGCAAGTTACGTTCCATTTTGGTACAGTACGCCTTTTCTTTCAGTATTCTTGGGCAGGAACTGGTTTTCTACACATGTCGGGCACACATGATCCGGAGGCCACCATCCATGCGCCCTGGTTTGTGGAAGGACGCTTTGATGTGCATCTTTATTATCATGATTGGCCGGATCCCTATGAACCCACTTCGCCGACAGTGCTTGACTCCGACGTACAGTCCTGCTCTTCTGCACACACGGTGGAATATATACGGGATGACAATGTTGACGATGGGCCACTCTTGCTGCGCTTGTCATTCTATGTAGGTACCCCGAGTCTGCCGCTGATCGAACCTGACCCTAGTCACGCTGCGGAGTGTATGGCCAGGCACTTTCTACGAGTTGGCAGCTTCTTTGAGGATCAACTATCTTCGTTATGGGACCTACTTCCACATGACAGCCCGCGTGGACATCAAACACTGCTCGGCAGCGAATCCACTGCTGCATTCTCGTTTACCACAGGTGCTTTTCAGGCTGGAGGACTGGTCGGCATACGCAGCAACGCGCTTCAGATGCCATGGGTCACTGCATTGCTTTGTCGTATTGTGCACTCTGTATTGCTCGGCGAAGGTGCTGAGGATCATCACTACACTTCGCTTTCGCTCTTGCGGAATGTACATTCTGGCATACACAGTGATGGCAACAATCATCCCTCCTGCAACAACTTGCTTATTCCATTGAGCCGCTTCTCTGGTGGTGAATTATGGTGCTACAATGCTGATTCTGGGGATGTTTGTTTTCCTGGTACTGATTTGCCGGGGCTGGCTCATGCAGTGGCTCCACCGTATTTGGAGTTCGACTCACACGTGCTGCATGGCACGCTCCACTGGACTGGTGTGCGTGTGGTACTCGCAGTGTTCCACATGAAAACCCCGGAGACTTTGAGTGACGGCGAGTTGCAATTCCTGCGGCAGTTGGGTTTTCAGCCGTTGCTTCCCAGTGAGATGAGTGAGACCTCGATGCGGTAACCTGTGAGCCGTTGCACTAGTGTGCTGAGCTGCGCTGTAGTTCTGACGTGCTTTACTCTTGTGTGACTCTTGTGTGACTACCGGCTGTGGCCTTTACTAGTTCGCGTAGGTACCGTGTTTTGTACAGTAGTCGTGACCTGGTGATGTTACTCGTTGCCGGTCCCTTTTCGTAGTGTCTTTTGTAGCCTTACTGAACTTGTGTGTCGTGCACACGAGTGCAATCTTTTACGCTTTCTGTAGTTTGCTGCATGATCACATCGCTTTTGGGTGCTACACCGGGTGTGATCTGCTGTGTTGCTTTTGGTGCTTAGGCACGGACATGGCTGAGACCTTGAGTCTCCGGGCTGTAAGCCTGTTAGGCCTACTCTAGGCGACCTTCGGGACAGGACGCTGAGTGTGAAAAAAAGCCAAGTGAATCAAGTCTCTCGGCCCGAGCACTTTTGCTGTGAGTACGGGTGGGGTAGCTGTAGCTTGCCGTAGAGCGCATGGTTTCCAGCTGCTGTATTCCACGTCGACTTTTCCCTTTTGCTGCATTCCATTTTACATTGCCGATTTTCATGCTTGGATTTCTCTTCTGGATTTTCATGTCGAGCATTTCACATGGCAGTTTTGGCATGCAATCAAGTACAGTGGGCACAGCAAACACTTTTGATTATGATCTGGCTGCCGCGGTTCCAAATCCGCGGGCTGCACATGGGAGGCCTAAGACGGGCATTTCAACTGGCAGCAGAGACGAGAGTTTGGAGCTTGTGCACGGAGCTCCTGGGAGCGACAGGACAGCGATGGTAAGAGTCGGCACTTCAGTCGCGAAACATTGTGCATCAGGCCTCAACGGTTTCACTTTATTATTTGCGAGAAAACGCTCCTACAAACGTGCCTTGAACAGGGCAGAGGCGAATGGCAGTGCTTGGTACAAAGGTCAATGGCTCAGCTTGGCAACTCTTCGAAAGTCCTATGTGTCCAACAATGCAGCCGCAAAGACCGAAGGGATGAACATCCCAGCAGCCAGCAGGTCCCAATGCAAACGTGGATCCAGATTTTCATTGCGAGCTTTTTCCTGGAATTGTGGCGGGCTCAACAACCTTAAGGATGAGCTACACACATGGCTTCAAGAGCACGGCAGTGATTACAGCATTGTTCTACTGCAAGAGACTTGGTATCGTTCAGACATGGATTTTCTTGACAGGGGGTGGATTTGCATCAACTCGGGCATCGGTGAGGGTGTGGCCAGAGCGCAAGCAGGCGTCATGGTGTTGCTTCGCAAAGATGTTTTTTGATCAGTCACATGTTCGCTTTCACCATGTAGTTCCAGGCAGGGTGCTTCACGTGCAGGCGCTGTGCAAGGGAGGCTGGGTTAATGTGGTCAACATCTATCAGCACAGCTGGGGCTTGGTCTCGGATCAGGACCGATTGCTCACCAAGAGGGCAGCGATCTGGGAGAAAGTCAGGGACACCTTTGGCCAGATTCCCAAGGGCCACTTTCTCATTGCTGGCGGTGACCTGAACACGACAGCAAAACCGATGCACCCTTGGATAGGTCGTGGCATGCTGCAGAAGGGCCAGATTTCACCGGATGCCGAGTGCTTGGAACAGTTGGTGCAGGACTTTCAGCTGAGGGCTGTGAACACTTTTGGCAGGCCCACGGCGTTCTCCTACGTTCATGAGGGCTACAAGGTCCATCGCAAATCGTTTGTTGACTACTGGTTGATACGCCAGTGTCAATCAGGGCAGTCTTCAGCCTCCTTGCTTGCGGGATTCGAGGTTGGAAGATGGCGCGAAGGAGGGCGGCACTTGCCCATTGTCGTGGCTGTCACCCTCAGGCCTTACCATCATCAGGTACGTAAGACTCCCCGAGAATGGCCAGTGTGGAAGTGCAAATTGTTACAGCAGGCGGTAAAGGACCACCCCGAGAAAGCCGCGGAGTTCCAAGCCATGGTTCAGGAGCGATTGGAGGCGGAGATCGAATACCAACCGCAATTCTTGAATGACATCCTGTTGCAGGTGGGGAAACAGGTCTTCGATATTCAGCGACCAAGAGTGCAGCCGCCAGCTTGGACAGCAGATGCACACACCAACTTGATTAAGCAGATGTGGTCACATGATCGGTTGATGAAGCGTAGGCGGTGTCTCCCTGGCACTCGGGCCATCTTGCAGGCCTGGCGTCATCAAGTGGCATTCCTTCGGTTGCACAGGGCAGTTCAGAAACACAGCCGACAGCTCCGACGATCACATTTCGATCAACTGCTGACGGCAGCCGAGCGCTGTGATCAGGTCGACGGGGCATCTGCCACTTTTACTTTGATCAAAAAGTGGGCTCCCAAGCAGGCCAAGAAGAGAACCCAGCTGAGATCCCCCAACGGCCGACTTTGTGTCCGGCTGAGGAAGTCAAGGAACTGGCGACATTTTGGAAAGAGATCTGTGCGGGCAGTGATGGGCAGGCTCCACCCAGCCACCAACCACGGCATGCATACCATGTGTCACGAGAGGAATTACTTCATGCTCTGCAGTCTCTGAAGGGAAACAAAGCGGCGCCGGCTCATTGTGCACCACACGCGCTGTGGCAGATTGCGGCAGGTCCTGTTGCCGAGTTCATGGATGTTCAGCTGCTCAGCAAATGGCGAGATGAGGAAGCCGAGGTCTTTGAGGATTGGTCGGCATCCTGGCTCACCTTCTTGAACAAAGCCAACAAGCCGGGCAATCAGCCCGGAGATCTCAGGCCAATCTCCTTGTTGGAGCCAGCGGGGAAGGCCATGAGCGGCATCATCAAACAACATTTGATGCCTTTCCTGCAGCCTTGGATTGAGGACAGACATCTTTTTGGATACTTGCCCAATCGATCGCCGCAACAGGCACTGAGCATTGTGTTTCGGCATTGTGCCGATGCTCGTGCCCGGGCGAAAGCCCAGGGTCGAGATTTGTATTCGATCCGTCAGGGACATCGACGAGGGGGCTGCGCAGGGGGCTTGCAGGTGAGCATAGATTTCACTCAAGCGTTCGATAGGGCTAACCGCGCTTTGCTCAACTCAGCCCTTCTACTTCTGAAGGTCCCGGACAACCTGCGGTGCGTGATTATGCAATGGGTAGAGACAACCACATTCCATGTTGTGCAGGACGATGCCGAAGCCAAGTTCTCCTCCAGTAGAGGAATAAGACAAGGCTGTCGATTATCACCATCGCTCTGGGTGTGCATCTCGGTGTACTTGTTGCATTTGCTTGAGCAGGAGATGGGGTCCCAATGGTGCAACGATCATCTGGTGGGATTTTAACAAACATTTCGCTTAGGAGTGTGTTGCCCTGTAATCCTGTAGATGAGCTGTTTGCCACATGATTTTGTATAGTATGGAACAAATGTTCCACTGTGGTGTTTAGGCTCAAGGGACGCACCCAAGACAGCCGTGCGCCCGAGGAAAAGTGAAGTGCGAATATCTGTGTGAAGTGAAAGGGTCCGGAACGTACCCGTAAAGCGTTTTATGGTAGCGGAGCTGAAGGCCAGGACCTTCGGCTGAAGAAGAGCCCAATACAAGGAGAAAAGAGCCTTGGGCCCCAGTGTCACGGAAAGTGAAAGATAGGAAAGTTGAATGGCCACGCCAAGTCCAGCTGGAGACGCGGATTTGCCTGTGTCCCCTGGTCACGGTGGTCAAGGAGGAGATACACCAAGTGATACGCCAATGGCGATGCCTGCACCAGAAGGAGTTGCAGGAGGATCCCTTCAGGCCCTGATAGGGAACCTGTCGGCAGCAGCGCAAGCTTTGGCGAGTGCTGCAGGTACAGGAAGTACCAGGAGTTACGACTCTGCAGCTAAGCTGGTAAAGAGTCCGGATGTATTCGCTCCAAAGAGTTTGGAGGAGGAAGTTTCACAGTGGCCAGACCGGAGTTTCAGTTTCAAAGTGTTTGTGGGCTTCATTGATCCCACCTATGCAGAAGAGTTGAAGAAAGTGGAGCTGGCACCACCAAATCCAGCAGATTATACAGTTGGTGAAAGAGAAAGAAGTACAAAGCTGTATGCGATTTTGGCCTCGTATCTTAGGAACAGGCCACTAAAGTTATTGAAGTCAGAAGGAAGTCCAGATGGATATTCTGTCTGGAGGAGACTGTTTGAAGAGTTGGAGCCGTCAAGCCGAACAAGAGGGCTGGCAATGGCTCAAGCTCTAGTGAGCTTTCCCCAGATGACGAAGGGGACTTCTATCTTAGACTATCTGCTTACCTACGAAAAACTGGTTGCGGAATACGAAAAACTGTCCGAAGGAAAACCATACGATGAGAATTTGAAAATCGGAACAGTACTCAAAGGGTTGCCAAATGAGTTGAGGAAACATATCCTGATAGGATTGACCCCTACGACGAAGTACGCAGACATCAGGAAGAAGTTGCTTGAGTATGAAAGGAGTACCCAATCGTGGAATGCGGAGAACATTTTGCAGTCTTTCAACATGGAAAGCGCAACGAAGAGTACACCCTACAATGGGCCACAACCAATGGATGTTGATCGAGTGAAAGGAAAAGGAAAAGACAAAGGGAAAGGATACGACAACAAAGGAAAAGGAGGAAAAGGAAAAGGATACGACAACAAAGGAAAAGGAGGAAAAGGAAAAGGATACAACAACAAAGGAAAAGGAAAAGGATACGACAACAAAGGAAAAGGAAAAGGTGGTTATAGAAATGCACGAGCAGTGGACGCTGGTGGCTACGGGAAAGGGAAGTTCACAGGAGAGTGCCACATATGCGGAAAGACAGGACACAAAGCAGCTGATTGCTGGCAGAATCAAGGAAAGGGAAAAGGAGGTAAAGGCAAAGTGAGACAGGTAGAAGAGGAAGGAACCCATCAAGGAGATCACGAGAAGAGTTCCTCTAGCAATGCCCCTCCTGCGAAGAATGAGACTGGTCAAGTGAGGCAGATCACAGCTGAAGCAGCGCGACAAGCAAGAAGAGTAGAGATGACACAAGAGTGGAACGATGAGGATGAAGAGCTCAACTTTGTGAGATTGTGTCAAGAGTTTGAAGGTTTGGTTCAAGGAGAGCTGAGAAGAGTTGAGGAGTTTGATATCTCTTCGAGCGATGAAGTGGAAGAGATCGAGGAGGAACCGACTGATGGCTTGATGGAGTGGTACCAAGGATGGTGGTTCTTGGAAACAGAAGTTGAAAGAAGTGTGAGAATGGTTTCTGAAGGAGATGAAGTGAGAAGAACAGCAAGAGAAGTGGATGCATGTGAGGTAGTGCTCGACAGTGGAGCTGACTGCCATGTGTTGCCTATGGATTGGGCAGAAGAAGTCGGAGAAACTTCGAACTTTGAGTACCATCTGAAAGATGCGCAAGGGAAAGTGATCCCAACGCTGCCTGTGAGGCAGAATGTGACGTTTGTTTTCACGAAGGAGTCTGGAAAGAAGTTGAAGATCACTGACAGTGCTGTTTGCGGCAATGTCACCCAACCTTTGTTTGCGGTAGGAAAGATGTGGAAGCTAGGTTGGGGTACGGTGAATGAAGATGGAAGATTGTGGTTGAAGAAAGGAAGTGTTCGGATACCGATATACTTCAAAAGGAATTCCTCAATGGCGAGGATGTGTATACGGAGACTTGAAGGAGAAGAGATGACGGTACAGCCTGTGAGGCTGGAGCGAGAACTGAAGAATGAGTTGAAGAGCAAAGAAGATGAAGATGGTTGGTTTGTGCTAAATGACGGCACGCCTGCAAGGTTTGATTGGTTTATGGGGAAGACGTTTGACCCAACGGGTCAGTTCCCTAATAGACTCTATGAGGGAGCAGGAGACGAAGGCGATTATTTTCCTTATAGGACAACCTTGCTAGGAAAGATGAAAAGAAGTGGAGAAAGAGTGTTAAATGAAGTGGATTGGAAGAGTATGGACTTCTTTGAGTGTACGGAGATCTGGAAGGATCGCGAAAGAGTGCAACTTGGGGCGAGTCCTCAAGCAAGGTTTGAGGTGATGGTCACCTTGTTGGAAAAGGGATTGAAGGAACCGAGTGACTATGGGTTGCTCACGAACTTGGAAGAGCTCGAAAGAGAACTGGCACAAGAAGGAGTGCCAATGGAGGTCACAGGTACCTCCTCAGGTTCGAAAGACAAAAAGGAAAGTGAGAAAGAGGGACCGAAGAGAGGAGTTCCGGTGATCGGTGAAGATGAAGAGGAAGTGATGGTGATTGGACCGATAAAGTTGACGCGCCAGAGTGAGTTGAAGGAGATGAAAGCGGCGTGCAAGTATCTGCATATCTCGAAGAATGGATCGAAAGAGATTTTGTGGAAAAGATTGAAGAAAGAGGTTGCGCTGAGCAAAGTGAAAGCGCAAGCCCAAATCTCTGAAGATATCAGAAAAGAGTTTGAGAGAGAGCCGATTCCAGAGGCTCTGCCTGCTTTGCCGAGCCCGGAAGAGATTGAAGCGCATGAGTTGACGCATTTGCCGAGAGCGCCCTGGTGTGAAGCATGCCAGGCAGCAAAGAGCAGAGAAGACAACTTTGAAGAGACGAAGGAGAAAGCGCAACGGCCCGTGTTTAGCTTGGACTTTATGTTCACAGGAACACAAGGAGATGAAAAGGAGAGAGATCCGCTTGCTATTCAGCTTGCGGGTGTTGACAATGACACGAAGTTCCTGATAGCTATTGCGGTACCAACGAAAGGAGGAGATGCGGTGATAAACCACGCGGTATATAAGTGAAGTGGTAAGAGTGTTAGCCCTTTTGGGTTACGCTGAAGTGGTGATTAGAACGGACACCGAGCCAGTGATGATTGCCATCAGGAGAGGAGTTCAAGTGGCAAGAACGAAACAAGGTTTGAAGACGGAGTTGCAAGATGCCACGCCTGATGAGCATCAAGGGTTGCCTGTTGAAAGGTATATTCAAACGGTAAGGAACCTTGCGAAGACGTTGTTGGCAACGGTGGAGCAAAGAAGTGGAAAGGCCATCGGATCTGATGTCCCGCTTTATAGCTGGGCATACAGACACGCAGCATGGCTGCACAACAGGTTTCATGTTGGAAGAGATGGCAGAACTGCGTTTGAAGCAACAGTGGACCGAACGTACAAAGGGAAGTTGGCCCCGTTCGGGTCAGCAGTGTTTGGAAAAGCAGTGCCAAAGACCAAGGAGAAAGGAGAACCTTGGGAGAAAGGAGTCTTTCTTGGAAAGGACTACGCGAGCAATCTGAACCTGATTGGCACAGGTAGAGGAGTGATTAAGGCGAGGACAATGAGAAGATGTGCTGAGGCATATCAGCCGGAGCTCTTGCAACTTTCGGTTGGAGCTCCATGGGATCATCAGCTGAAGGCTTTGAGGTTTAAGAAGAAGAGAATTGTGCCTATTGATGATGGGCCAGGACTGCCAAGATTGGCGGTGGAAGCTGACAAAAGAGTAGAAGAGGAAAAGAGAAGTGAGCCTTCGCCGCCAAGCGACCGCCAAGGAAGCTCAAGTTCTTCTAGCAAGAGTTCGTCGCTGTCTGGAGCAACGCCAGAAGCAATGGACGACGAGAGCGATGACGATGATGATGATCCAGGAGAGGTGAGAACAAAGAGAAAAGCGGAAGATGAATTGGTGCCCGATGAAATGACGTTGGAGGAGTTTCAAAGAGAAGTTGCAAAGAGGAATGCAGAAGAAGAAGGAGAAGGGTCACCGAAGAAAGGACCAAGAGTAGACGAAGGAACTGGAGAGGTAGAAGAAAGAGTTGAAAAGGTGCCAAGACTTGGAGACGAAGCACGAGGAAGTGCGGCGCGAGTGGAATACCACATTCGGAGATTCGCCAAGAGCGAGGATCCCGAAGAGCATGGAGATGAGTATGTTGATCTCGACGAGACACAGCTGTTTCTGGAAGAAAGTCGAGAGTTCCAGAGCAAGTGGAACGAGAAGGTGTGTGAGACAGAAGAGGACCTAACGGTTACTTGGTCTCACGAGTATGATGATGGGCCACCAAAGTTGGAAGCTGAAGATTTGGAAAAGGTGGACCTGAAAGCGGAGAGAACAGAAATCGAGAGACTATTGGAGATGAAAGTTCTCAAAGAAGTGGAACTGGATGAGAATGGAGAGTTGAAGAAAGGACCGAATGGAGAAGAACCAAAGAGACTCAGTACAAAGTACGTGTTGGATTGGAGGCATAGGGACCTCCAATGGAAGAGGCGAGCCCGCCTAGTGGCGCGGGAGTACAAGTGGCTGACGGACTACGATCTCTCAGCGCTATACTCACCCACGAGTATTGGTTCGAGCATCAAGCTGTTATCAGCTTTGTGTGCGAGTTCAAGAGACTACGAGATGATCTCGATAGACATTTCGGATGCGTACCTTCAGGTGCCGCAGAAGGAGTACACGGTTGTGAGTTTAGGAGGAAAGTGGTACCAACTGCAGTACACCCTACCGGGACAACGAACAGGAAGTAGTGATTGGTTTGAGCACCTACGAGAAATCCTGGAGAAAGAGAAGATGGTTTCCGATGTGGGGTTACCAAGTTTCTTCTACAAGTTTTCAGAGACCCCAGGAGAAGGTGGAACGCTGATGAGTACACATGTGGATGATTTGGAAGTGTTTGGAAAACCAAAGGAGAACCAAGCAGTGGTTGATCTGCTGCTGAAGCACAAGTTGAAGATAAAGCTGGAAGGACCAGTGAAGGTTGGAGAAGGAAAGTGTACTTTCTTGAAGAGGACGTTCTTAGGAACGAAAGAAGGAATTGAGATCAGGATGGACGGCAAGTATCTTGAGAAGTTGGAAGAGATTTTAGGTTTGGGAAAAGCCCTGCCAAAGAAGTTGCCGTTTCCAATGGATTACGGACGATCGTTGAAGGACGACACGCCCTTGGATGCAGATGAACATCATCTGTACAGATCCTGTGTGGGAATCCTATTGTATATGACACCGGAGAGACCTGATTTGGGATTCGCTACGAAGTGGTTGTCAGGGAAGTTGGCAACGCCAACGCGAGGAGACTTAGCAGTGCTTAGGCACGTGGCAAAGTACGTGAAGGCGACAGCCCATTACGTGATAGAACACAAAGAGGCATATCCTGGAAAGAGTTTTCTGGATCCAAGTGATAAGAGAACTGAGGATGCCTACAAAGATGTTTTTACGGCGAAGAGTTTGATCGAGGTAGTGACCGACGCCGACTGGGCGACCGATCGTGAGAATAGGCAGTCAACGAGCTGCGTGTTGATTTTCGTGAACAGTAACATCGTTTACTTTCACGCGAGAAAGCAAAAAGCGACGGCTTTGAGCAGCTGCGAAAGCGAACTGGTGGCAGCTGTTGGAGGTTTGAGTGAAGGAGTTTTTCTACAGAACCTGTTGCACAGAGTTCTAGGGATTAGGCCGGAGATGGTGATTAGGATGGATTCTAGCAGTGCTAGGTCTATTCTTCTGAAGAAAGGCCTAGGAAGAACGAGGCACATTGATGCAGGACTGCTTTGGGTTCAAAGGCTTACTTCTGTAGGTCTTCAAGTGAAAGCGATAGCTGGAAAGGAGAACCCTGCAGATGTAGGGACAAAGGCTTTGTCGAGGAACGCTGTTGTGAAGTGTTTGGAGAGAATCGGTGTGAAAACTGGAGAAGAGCGTGAAGAGGTCAGGATAGCAAGTGACTTCAAGATCCCTACGAAGTATCTGAGAAGACTTGTGATGATGATGATGGTTCAGCAATGTGATGGACTAAGAGAGCAAAGCAGTAGAAGCAGTGAAGGTGGAAGCTTTGGTTTGGTGATGATGGTGATGATGATGACAATGGTCGTTATCTTGGTTTGCAACGGTAGCCTGTGGAAGAGTCTGGTTGGAAGTGCTGAATGCATGTTTTGTTCCGCCGCTGCCGTTTTTAACTCAAGGAAGGAAGTGAGAAGAAAGGAAGTGAGAAGAGAAGAAGTGAGGAGAAAAGAAGTAGAAAGAAAAAGAGAAGTGAAAAAGATGGCCGACGACGCGGCCCTCAAGACAATGATCAAGGACGAATGCCGAAGCATAGAGTCCGTCACCCTCTGCGAAAGAGAGCTCAAAAAGGAACGCGAGAGGAGGTTAACCCTGGATGCCCTATGGCCCGAAGTGCAACGCCTCAACCAACAGTTTGAGCCTAAAGAGGCGGCCCCGCCAGAAGCTGCAACGGCGGAGGTTAAAGTGCCTGAAGAGTTCAAGAAAACAGCGGAGGAATTTGCTGTAGAGGCACAAGGAAGCAAAGGAAGTGCCGAGGAAAGCCAGGCACGTGTTATGGAAGATAGAGTGAGTGAACTGAGGCAGAAGGCCTTGGATGCTTCCGAGAGGCGAAGGGGCCAGAAGGAAAGGGCAAACGATGCCGCAGAGAAAGCAAAGGAAACAAAAGAGGAAGAAGAGAAAAAGAAAGAGAAAGAAGAAGAGGAGCATGAAGCCTCTGAGAGCGAGGAGAAAGTGAGCTCGGAGAAAGAAGAGGAGGAGCAAAGCTCCGAAAAAGAGGAAGAGAAAAAGAGAGGCGAGAAGAGAAAGAGAAAAGACTCTGAGTCAAGTGACGATGAGTACAAAGAGATTATGAACAAGCTGGCAAAGAAGTCAGTGCTGGAGGAGGAAAAGAGAGTGCAGGACCTGCTTGGGCAGATGAGGGTTCTGCAGGAGAAAGTGGATGAAAAGAGAAAGAAATTCGCCATTTATGGTGATTTGTACACGTACAAACAGAAACAGAAGAAGCTCAAAGAGGAGGAAAGAGACAGATTGATTGCAAAAGAGATAGAAGTAAAGGAGGAGCTGAAGCGGGTAGCGGACGAAGCGTTCGTTGCCAAGGAGTCCATAGAGAAACAACTGGACAAGCTGAGAGCCGAGGAAGAGGAACAAGAAATGGAGGCTACATTGATAATGGACGAGGAGTCCGCCCTGCAGAAAGAAATGGACCGGTTGAGACCGAAACTCCATGCTGCACTGGAGGAGTTGAAAGCGAAAAGGAAGGAACTACAGGTTCCAGCGGGTGGACTGCTTCAAGGCGAAGCTGAGCAAAAGCTGGAAGAGATGGAGCGCAAGAGGATCAAAGAGATGAAAGAGCTCCAAGAGGCAAAAGAAAGGGAGATTAAAGAAGAGATAGACAAGAAGGAAAAAGAGATCACAGAGCTGAAGGAGGCAAAGGACAAAGAGATTGAGGAACTTAATGAAGAAGTTCGGAAACTGAAGAAGCGCAAAAGCAGTGCTGGGTCAACGCAAGGCCAGCAGAACGAGGACGCAGAGAAGATGAAAGAGGAGCGCCGGAAAATGCGCGAGACCATAAAGGAGCTGGGAAAGAACAACAAGGCCCTCGAAGATGAGCTCCAGGCGCTTAAAGAGGAAGGAAAAATCAACGAAGATCCTGATGCGCAAAGCCAGGCAATGGTATGCGCAGTATGTTCGCGTTTCGGACATGGTTCCGAAACGTGTTGGGATGCTGATTACAACTATACTGCCTCAGGGCAGTATGCTCCAAAGATGCAAAGGGAAGAAATGAGTAAGGAGCAGTTCCAATCCTGGTACAAGAGAAATGAGTTGATAATCCGAAGAGCATACGCGAACAGGTTGGAGACAAACAAGAAAAAGTACCGCACTGACAATGCGGAAAAGGGCAAAGGAAAGAAAGCCCAGCAAAAGAGCAGCTAAAGGAGAAGAGGAGAAAAGAGAAGAAAGGAAGACCAAACCGGAGGTCTATAAAGAAAAAGGGAATCTGAAGGCTGTAAAGCCGAGAGGGGGAACTTCGTTCCCAAACGAGGAAAGAGTTTTCTGAAAGCTGTACGACAGCTGCACCACGAGAAGCCGAAGAGTTTCTTTACGAGGAGAGTTTAAAGAGTTTGAAGAGTTTTGTGGCTTTGGCCACCGCGAGTTCTTTTGAGGCTGAAAAGCCAAAGAAGTGAACGAGTTTGAGAGCGGCCAGTAGGAGTAGCTCTGTTTCACTCGTCTCACACCACGACAAAACGGAGTGCACAACGAGTGTTTCAAAAGGAGGAATGAGCGACTGTTTTGGGTTCGTTGCACCTCTAGGAAGGAAAAGGCGAAAAGAGGATGCACGAAGAGGGGGTAACAAACATTTCGCTTAGGAGTGTGTTGCCCTGTAATCCTGTAGATGAGCTGTTTGCCACATGATTTTGTATAGTATGGAACAAATGTTCCACTGTGGTGTTTAGGCTCAAGGGACGCACCCAAGACAGCCGTGCGCCCGAGGAAAAGTGAAGTGCGAATATCTGTGTGAAGTGAAAGGGCCCGGAACGTACCCGTAAAGCGTTTTAGATTTGCTGATGATACTCATCTTCGTTGGGATATCCATGATGTGGTGCAATTACATCAGGCTCTAGCACAAGCACACCGGGCATTACAGCTCCTGGAGAAGGCGGGTCTCAAACTTAGTCGGGACAAGACGGTTTGTCTGCTACGGGTTGAAGGTGTTCAGACTCCACACATTAAGCGACAGCTCATCGACAAGACCAAAGACGGCCGAGTCCTCAAAATCAGCCCGGACTACATCCTGCCACTCAAACAAGATCACATCTACTTAGGCGCTTGCATCACATATGGGGACTTTGAGCACAAGAACATGCAGCACCGAGTTCATGCAGGCAAAGTGGCATTCCAGCGGGTACGCAAATTTCTTATGGCAGACAAGGCCGCCAGCATGCAGAAGAGGCTTCGACTATGGAAGGCCATTGTCATCCCAACGGTCATGTACTCAATCACTGCTTCCGGTGTTCTCCCCAAGGGGTTCGACGCACTTCGCGTCATGCTGACCAAGCAAGCGCGAGCTATCGCGCGAAGCCCCAGACACAGGCTGGGAGGTGACTCCGGTGAAGAGGTTATCACCGAATCCGATGAGCTTTTCTGGCGAAAGGTGGCGATGGTCGCACCAGCACAGATGGTGCAACAGAGATTGCAGGCCGCCGTGGAACGCACAACGGAGCTTACGCATCACTTAGCGCCGCAGGATGTTCGAATCAGCACGGCTGTTCGGGAGTGGGAACAGACCATTTTGCAGCAGTTCAAGGACCGTTGCATTCATAGCGATAGCGTCACTACTGTTCACAAGTGTGATGTTTGCAATGCGGAGTTCGGTGACTACAGTTCTTTGCGGGCACACAAGGCTAAGGTCCATAGTGCGGAGAGGCGACAGACTGCAGCACCAACCTTTGATAGGCAACGTCACGGTGTGGATGGAATGCCGACGTGTTCCATGTGTGGGCACAAATTTCTGCGGTGGGCTGATTTGCAGAAGCATGTTGAAGGAAACTTTTGTCAAAAGCACACCCCCGACACCGAGGCGAGTACCATGGTTGAGGCCAAGGCTTCCGTCTGGGATCAGGCTCGGGCTGGCACGCTTCAGCTCGATGACATCAGCTTGGCAACAGTCACCGAGGAGCTCAAGCAGGAACTACTTCAGCATTGTGCATTGTGTCGTCAATGGCAACCCGATCCCAAGTATATCAAGATACATTGGGGGCGAGTTCATAAGAAGGAGTGGCAGGCGCACGAAGCTCACACATTGCAATGGCGACGAGCAACTTTTGCACGCATTACAGGTACCTGTGCATGGTGTCATCGGTCAGTGCCCAAAGGCTCGGTCCATACCGACACATGTCCGGTGTTGTTTCAACTGTCTATGGTTCGGGCGATGAACAGTGCAGCTTCAGGCGGTGATGTCACCACTGTGAGTGCGGAGCCAGGGCCGGTAGCTGAAGTCTCCTTGCCTGATGTACATGCCAGCAAACATTGGACAACCCATTGCCAGATGTGTCATGAACAATGCACCGCGAGGGGTCTGCGACGGCACATGGAACAAGATCATGCAAGCACATGGTCCCGGTCGAAGACCAGAGTGGTGGATTTGTGTTTGCAGTGGGCCGCCAGTCTCAAACGTCCGTGTCAGTTCTGTGGAGGCAACTTTAAACGAGCTGCACAGCATGCACATGTGTGTCATGTTCTCTTTCAATCTGCCTTGCAACTTTCGCTACCGGCAGCTCCTCCTGTAGAAGCTCATGGCCAACATGTCGACGGGGGAGGAACAGTTCATGGACATCTTCGCGGCGACGATGCCAGCGCTTCGGGAAATGGCAGCCAAAAGAGCCGCCGAGCAGGACGAGCAGAACGGCTCCAACAAGAGGCCGCATCTGGAAGTCACCAAGCCAACCAAGGGCAAAGGTTGGGGGAAAGGCCGAGGCAATCGCTCCGGCAACGGCTGGGGAAACCGTTGGAACACACAGACACCGGCTCCGGCGCCATCCACGGTTTCTTTAGAAGATCTTCAGCAAATGATGCACTTGGTTGCTCGGCTGCTGGTACAACAGGACAACGAGATCCAAATGCTCAAGATGGACAAGCAATTTCTACTCCATTTCGAGACTGGTCCTCAAGGAATGGTTCACTTGTTTTGGGAGTCGGCACAGGTCTGGAAAAAGGCCAAGGAGGCCCAGCCCCCGACAGTGGACAAATCGTTGCGCCTCACATTGCTTCTGTGTATGCTGATGGAACTAGAAGGCCGCTTGACGAAGATGCTTGCACACGAGCAGACCAAGGACAACATGATCAAGCATGGTTGGCTCACCACTCTAGTTCCACAGTGTGCGCCCGTTGGCGGAGCAGATGGAGGGCGACACATTGCCTTTTCTCTTATCAATCAGCACGAGAGGGGCTCTAGCGGATCGGACGTTCGAGCTTTTTCGCAAGCTGGAGGGCAACACGGTTCTGAGGGTTGTGGGCGCTCGCCTTCGGGGCGAACGCCTCAAGCGGCAGCCCCTGGTACATCAACTGGTGGAGGCCATGGCGCAGCTGCAAGTGAGTTCGTGACCAAGACGCAGAGGCAGGTCCTTGGAGTGCGGTTGCAGAACAATCACAACGTGTGTTACATCAACTCGCTGGCTTTGCTGTGGGCGTGGGCTTCATCGTTCAGCAATAATCTTGAGTACTTTGCAGGTGCGGCGACCCCGGCTCTACGAGCCATTCTTACGAGCAAGGGGACGCTCAATCTTCTTGAGCTACTGCCTTGGCAATGCTTTTATCGCGGATGGCCCAATCTGCGACTTCAGCATGATGTGCAAGAATGGTGTACTCATTTATTTACTCAGGTGATGCCTCGATTTTTGAGTGGATCATGGCATGCGAAACTTCTTAGTCTGGAGCTCAGAGACAGTGCCCACACATATTCACCTGTTTGGATGACATTACCCTCGCATTTACAGGAGTGTACTTTGCAAACAGTGGTGGATCAGTGGAGTGCTCAGGATGCTATACATGCATTGTGCGAACCCCCGGAGGTATTGTGTGTATGCCTCGCAAGGTTCGGCTACAATGGTGATGAGGCCTTCAAGCACACCATGTCGGTGAGTTTGCAAAGCTTGTCCATCATGATTCCCTGCTTTCTGAATGAAAACAGTTTGGAAACCCGTAGTTGTTCATACACGGTTATTGGTGCTATTTCACATTATGGTCAGACCGTCAATTCTGGACACTACAGGGCCATGCTTTACAGTGCGTCGGAGTCATGTTGGTACATCACTGATGACGGCTCTCGGGCCAAAAGGGCCAAACACAGCGATATGCAACACCTTTTCAGAAATGCTTACTTGATTTGGCTGAGAGCTGAGGGCTGATGCAGTTTACGGCTCACGGGCAAGCACGGGTGTACAATCCTCGCTGGACGCAGGAGGTTGTGCATGCTGTCGGGGATGTGGCTCGCCACTCCTACGGGCACCCATACTCTCTGCCGCATGTCGCGCCGGACGCGGTGCGCATGCTGAGTGACGGAGCTGCTAGGGTAGGGTCTTGGGTTGACTGTAACAACAAGCTCAGTCTTCCCTGTAGGGGTACGTACACTCGTACAGTTGCTTTCGTACAGCTCTTTCGTACAGTTTTCTTGCATTTGATTTCGGACTGAAGTCGTGGAATCAGTGCTCGCTTAGTGCTTCGGCACGGGGCGCTTTTTTGTGCTTGCTAGGTGCTACGGCACGGGGCGCAAAGCTTGCAGCCTAGAGCTGCCGTGTGACACACGTAGGCTTACGCCAGGCGACCTTCAGGACGCTGCGCAGTCAAAAAGCCAAGTGAATCTTACTAATGCCAGTGTAGAGACCATTTCGCCCCATGGTGTGGACACCATTGTTGCTGGGATTTGCCGGCGCATCACCTCGAGGCCTGAGCAGACTGAGCCTGAGGAGCTGGTGGCATGCACAGTGGATCTTAGAAAAGCCTATAAGCAACTTCCGGTTTCGCCCGAGTCGTTGAATGATTGCTTCTTGTGTGTGCACAACCCCGAGTGCAATCAGCCTTCCATATACCGCGCACGTGTGCTGCCCTTCGGGGCCCGTGCTGCAGTTAACGGATTTTGTAGATGCTCATTTGCCTTGTTTTGGATAGGGGTTGTCCTGTTGCAGCTCCACTGGAGCTGCTACTTTGACGACTTTTTCTTGGTGGCGGCCCAGTCCGAGGCAGAGCATGTGCACTTGATTCAACGGGGTTTCTTTGACTTGCTTGGTTGGTCTACGTCGTCCGAAAAGGATTCGGGATTTAACTGCCTGGCTCGAGTGCTAGGGTTTCCATCTCGTTTGCCGATGTTAGAGCTGGTCTAGTTGTGGTTTCGAATACGGAACACAGGATACGCGACTTGAGCAATCTTCTTGACTTGTTGGTGTCAAAGGGCTCTGCATCGAGTCATGAGCTGACAGTGCTTCGAGGCAGACTCTTGTTTGCTGACAATCAGGTCTTTGGCAGGCGTGCTCGGCAGGTCTTCTCTGTCCTGTCCAAAGCCTGCTTTTGTAAGAAGAATGTCAAAATAACTGGTGAGCTGCTGCACGCGCTTCTGTTCTTCCGTGATCACATCGTGAATGGTGAGCCAAGGCGTGTCAGTGCTTGCAAGAGGGAAAAGCTGACCCTCTTCACTGACGCCTCCTTTGGAAGCGAAGGTTCCGGACTTGGTGGGGTCCTTTACGATTCAGCTGCCAAACCTCTCAAGTGGTTTGCTGAGTGGATTGACCCTTGTGACCTTGCCCCCTTCGGCTCTGATGTTAATTCGGGTTTGATTTATGAGTTGGAGATCTTTGCAGCAGTGCAAGGTGTCGTGGACTTGCTCAAAGGCAAGTCAAACATTGACCTAGTGCTGTTTGTGGACAACGAGTCCGCTTTGTCTTGCTTGATATGCGGTCGCGCAGAAGGCGTTGCAGCTTGCATACTTCAGAAGCTTGTCTGCTTCGAAGAAGAGAACGATATCAACATTTGGTGCGAGTGGGTGCCATCCCAAAGCAATCCTGCTGATGGGCCATCTCGGAAAGATTACAGCAATCTTGACTCGTCTCTTCGTGTGCGGCTCACTGCCTTGACACCTTAGGGCCTGTGCGTGGGGTGTGGAGGGCCCGATGTGTTCGAGCAGTGAGCTCATGGACCATCGGTGCTTCTTCTTGACCAAGACTTTCGCAGTCTCCCACTGCAAAATGAAGGCGTCCGAGTGTCTGTGAATTTCCTTTAAATATATTTCTTGCATTCTTTCAAATATACTCCTTGACACTTATACTATATTGCAGAATGCCCTGATAATTTTAGGGCGACAGGAATCGAACGAAAATAAGACGGAACTCACCGAAGGTGATAAAGTTTTATTTTCAACGATTCCGTTTTTGAAATGTTTTACATTTCAAAGAGCCCGAAGTTTCCCTCAATCGCATGCAACCTCTGGTTGTGCGGTATGGACTCTTCGTTCATCTCAGGGTGGGAGGTGGGAAACCCTGTAGCTGGGCAATCGCCCAGTTTTTGATCCCGCCCGCCCATTCCCTTTTTCAATCTTCACGTCGGGGTGTGGAGGGCGACAGGAATCGAACGAAAATAACACTGGAGTAGAGCAAGCCGACGTGGACTTGGACACAGTCACCTTCAGTTGTTTTGGAACGAGCTGCATGGCTTGCAGATCTGCAACAGATTGCACGGTGCTTGATCGAATGAATTGACTGTGATTGGCTGATTTTTCGGTTGGTTGGTTGATTGGTTGATTGGTTGATTGGTTGATTGGTTGATTGGTTGATTGGTTGATTGGTTGATTGGTTGATTGGTTGATTGGTTGATTGGTTGATTGGTTGATTGGTTGATTGGTTGATTGGTTGATTGGTTGATTGGCTGATTGGCTGATTGGCTGATTGGCTGATTGGCTGATTCGCTGATTGGTTGATTGGTTGATTGGTTGATTGGTTGATTGGTTGATTGGTTGATTGGTTGATTGGTTGATTGATTGATTGATTGATTGATGATTTGCTTGTTTGCATGACCGGTTGATATTGATTTATTGGTTGACTGGTTGGTTGCTTGCTTGGCTGTTTGACTGATCGATTGATTGATTGATTGATTGATTAATTGGTTGACTGGTTGGTTGCTTGCTTGGCTGTTTGACTGATCAATTGATTGATTGATTGATTGATTGATTGATTGATTGATTGATTGGTTGGTTGATTGATTGATTGATTGATTGATTGATTGATTGTTTTGTTGATTGATTGATTGACTGATTGATTGACTGATTGATTGATTGATTGATTGATTGATTGTGTGATTGATTGACTGACTGGTTGTTTATTGATTGAAGGATTCTGACTGAATCATTGATTGGTTGGTTGATTGGTTGATTGCTCCTGGGATTTCCTGCCTATGTTGGTTGCGGGTGGAGGTGGTTAGTACGTGAGAATCCGGTGGCCCCCTCTTGAATGGTGACGGCTGTGTCACTTTCCAACGTCGGTGAATGTGGCGTTGCTCCTGCGATCGTCTCTTCTCGAGTTTGTTGAAACCTTTTTCATGAGCTGAAGATCGGTCCGCCTCGACACATCCGATTGGTTTTACGGCACATGCTGGTGAGATTTTAGGCAGCTGCAGCCAAGAATTCGTGCGACAACGCTGGCAGATTGCTTGCTGTGAGCGCTTTGGTTTGACAGACAACTTCATGTTCTTTTGTCGAGCCTTGACTGGCTGTTCTTTAAATCTGCTGTCGCTAAGACGCATACGGGACAAAAAAATTTTTACCATCGCCTTCAATTGAAGGTGCAGCCACACCAAAAGATTAACTGTGTCACTGGTGCAAACTTGGTTTGTTGTGCTTTTCGTGACATGCCGCCATGCAAAGCAAATCTGTCTGCAATGAATGCCTCCTAGAGTTGGATGTGGCCAGTTGTGTTCTTGATGGCCGTGTGCGACGACACTGCAGATCGCCTGTGGTTTGAACCGAAGCGGGCGAGTGCTGCCAGGGCCAGTAACCGCGTTTCCCGCGCCTGTGTGTCCCTTCAATAGAACTGCCTGGGCTTGACCGATCGTGTTCAAGTTGTGGTCTTGGAAGTATTGTATGTGTACCGGCGTGGATTTTGGAGATTTTCCACGCCAAAACTACTTGTGTAATTCGGACCTCAAATACTGGGAGGTACTCTTGAAATTGTTTTCGAAAATTTTTGTGCTTGTGCGGCGTGGGTGGATGTGATCGTTTGACGCCACCCTCAAGCTTTAAACCCTAAAACCGAAACCCTGGATTTGGTCACAGTTGGAATTTTCAAGTTCCAGGTTCGTTTTTGTCGTGTGTTATGCACTTAAAGATGAGCGGTGCATGGTGCTTGCAGCATGTTTGTTTCGTCGAGGTTCAAGATGGACACGCAGTTTTATATGTCATAGCGATGAAGCACAAGCAGATGAGAAGCACAAGGGACGGGGGAATGGGTTTGAGCATGCTTTCTGTTTGCTTTGAATGATGGTTTCCGGGTGTGAACAGCCAGCAAGGTTTCTGATCCCAGGTGTGCTCCATGGGAAAGCACAGTATTCTGAGCAACACAAACACAAACAAGAGATCTCGCAACGACGCTTTGTCGGCCGCAGACATCGGTCCAAGCTATGGTGCAACCAACCCTTTGCCACAATACGGACTTGAATCGAGGGCAGGCCTCGCGATGGCTGCAAGGACGCTTGAGTGGGAAGTAGGAATCTGATATGTTCTCGAGGTGCTTGCGAATGAAGAAGCCACAGTCTCCATGATTTAGGTTTTGCAAAACGTTTTTTTGGTGCCGGCTTTCGCCCATAATTACAATGGATTGGCTTGTCGCATGTTCTTACTTTCGTATCTGATGCCCGTGCTGTTCGTGTTTTAGACCACCTACATCAACGACTCTTAAACCTTAAACAGTTCTGATCCTTGAAGATCCATGAACCCGAAGCCTGAATCCCGAGCTGCTGTAAATTGGTCTGTGCACCACCGCGACAGCTTGTGCGCAGGAAGAGACCAAGACTTGTGCGCTCCGAAGCTTTGCCCGGGGCACAGATGCAAGCCTTTTCTCCCGAAAGCCGGAAGCCCGAAACATCGGAAAGTCCAAGCCCGGAGTCCTTTATCCCAAAGCCTGGGGTCTAGGTTACACTGGCTACACGCTTGACTTTGGCCATGCATCGGGTTGTGGGCTTTGGGGTATAGTGGGTTCAAACCTTTAGGTGAGCAAGCATCAGTCGGGGGCTGCTGTTGCAGATAGCTTGTTTCAGATGGATAGAGGTAGTTGCGAGGTTTTGGATGCACGAACAACCAAGGCGACCTCACTGCCTGTTCTTGTAGTTCAGAAGTTGGGTCATTGTGAAAACCAGATTACACATTGCAGGTGCTTGCTCTTGCTTACACCGTCACTGGTGGTGAACCACCACACGGATCCTTTGTCCTTTGTTGGCTCACTTGTATGGAGGCTTGCGTGAGAACATGCTTGAGTTCAAGAACCAACCCAGCGATGAGACAAAGAATGAGACAAAGAGCTCTCCGAACTGTTGAGGCTCATTTTGCAGTGGCTAGCTCCAACCCCAGTGCAATGTCCACAAACAGATGCAAAAAGGAAGAGCAGACACACATTGTGGTTCACCCAGTCGGTAGGCTGGGTCACCGATGTTTCGGAGTAAACCCCAAAACCCTAGATCCTAAACGCTCCATAAACCTTAAACTCTAAACCCCAAACCTAGACCCCAAACCCTGAACCTCAAACCGAACCCGAAACCCTAAACCCTAAACCCTAAACCCCTAAACCCTAAAGACATCTTCAAGCTTTATGCCGAAACGCCACGGGCAAGCCGCCGTTCGATGGATTGGCTCTACTCCGACCTTTGCTTGATCATCGTCGGTCCGGGAGATGATTCCGAGGAGACGCTGACTTTTGAAAAACCCGACTGTGTGGTAATATAGTAATAACTACCAGGGTTTCGGGTTATGGCATGTTCAGGTAGGGGTAATATAGTAGTGGTTCAGGGTTTAGGGTTCAGGGGTTTAAGGGTGTACGGTTTAAGGGCTTAAGGTGCAGGATTTATGGGTTTTGGGTTTTCGCTAGGTTCAGGGTTCAGGGGTGTTAGGGTGTGGGGTCTTCGAGTTTTATGGCTCGGAATTGAAGGTTAGGGTTTGGGCTTAGGGTTCAAAGTCTACCTTGTAGGGTTGTGACAATCAAGGTCCAGTAGTTAGACATGTTTGCATCACAGAAACTTTTTTCGGGTTTCGGGCTCTCCAGGTCTGCAGGGTTAGGGTGCCCTGGGCTTAAAACTCTACAGGGTTTGGGTTCAGCAGACTTTTGAGTCCACAAGAGTTGGGTTGGTTGAGGGGTGAAGGCTGCAGTCGGGGGACGTATAAAGAGATCTATAGGGATTCTATAAGGGTGTAGGGTTTAGGGTTTAGGGTATACTTGGAGGGTCGGGGGACTTAGTAACTGGTTATTTTCGGGACTTATTAAGTACCATAACCCCAATTAGGGTCCCTTTTAGGGTACTTATAAGTCTACTTACTACCTACTTACTAAGTCCCCCTAAAGACCCTCCAAGTCCTGGATTCGGAGTTGAAGGCTGTGGGGCTTTGTGGATTTAGACAGTTTTCGGGCTTCAGCTCTAGAAGCCCAGCATCCTTACAAGGGAGATCCTCATGTTCAGAGAGGGTTGCTTTCACTCATGATGGAGTGAACTGAAAACTGCGGGTGTAATGCAAGAAGTTAAAGGTTTCAAGCAGAGTTTCAATACAGACTTTAGACTCCGAATACCTAAACAGAATACCCATTGAGATCACGCATACACATGGGTGCATTTTCTTTTCGATCGTCCTGTGAAGTGAAAAGGCCAAGCACACTGAAGGGGCTCCTTCGCCGTGCGTCGATCGCTTTCAAAAGCTCCAGTGTCGTTGCCTGGAGTTATCTTGAACTGCACCACCGTTCCCACTAGCTGATTGAAAAAACGATTCATCGATTACCCCAAATCCTAAAACCTGTAAACCCTAATCTCTAAACCCTGGACCCAGTGAAACCTTAAACCCTACACCCCGAACCTGAAGCCCTTGAACCCTCAAACCCTAAACCCTGAACCTTAACCCTTTACACGCCTGCGTGTGCAACCCTAAGCCCGAAACCCTCAACCCTCAAAGCCCGCTAACTGCTAAAGGAACAGAGGGTTCAACAAAAACACGAGCTCAAAAGCCGTCTCCTAAACCCGAAACCCTCAAAACCCACAACGCCTTCAAAGGCGGTTCTTTAAGGGTTACTTTACGGGATCGATATGGGTACTACAATCCTCAAAGCATCTCAAAGCCCCTAGGAGCTCTTGGCCCAGCGCCGCCTCGGGGGAGGAGGCCGCCTCTGCCATGTGCAGACTCGGGGACATGCCGCCTGGCTCGGTGGATGATGGGGCCCAGAATGCTGTAGGGTTTAGGGTTTAGGGTTGTAAGACTGAATGATTCATAGTCAGAAGAACAACAAAAATGACGGATAAATGCTCACGGTAAGAGCACTCTTGACAACAGACATGTTTACAACAGTATTGCAGCAAGAAAATACTGACACGACTTGCAATAACAGCGACCTGAACTCTCAAGTTGGGGTTCCGAAAGGCCGCAGACACCGACATCTGATGAAGGACAGTCGTTTTCCGTGCTTTTGTTTGTCTTTGAGCGTTGCGACAAGTTCTTGAATTCCTTTGATCTTCTTCAACACATTAAACTCCTATACAGCATTCAGAGGTTTTTTGGGACATCTCCAACCATCGTTACATGCCTCTAAACTATAAGTATCTTCGGAAAGTTTACACGTCTTTGATCTTCGGGAAAAGTGTTTACGCTTGTACACAACACCTGTAAAAGCCGTGAAAAGTGTTGAGACAACTTTCAACGTCTGTGTTTGTCCTCGTCTTCCGTGTCCTTTGCATCTGTATTTGCTTGTTTTGTCGTCATGCTCTGCCATGATCCTGTGGATCCAAACCCTGAGGATCTGAGGCGCCGAAAACGCGCAATAGGATAACATATATACATATATAGATACATACATATATCAGAGAAGCCCAGAATACATACATATGTATATATATATATATATATTATATATATACATGTATATACATATACATGTATAAGGGAAACTCAGAATGCCAGATAGTCAAGAAACACAGCTCTGCAGTCTTGATCATGGTCGCTGAGGTGATGAGCGAGTCTCGGTGCTACACCTGCAGGAGGGACCTCTTATGTTCCCACATGTCGGCTCGCAGGTATCAGATCCTTGTGTCTAGGTAAAGTTAAATCCTGCTGGAAACCCGAAATCCTAAGCCCTAAACGTTATGTATTAAATACAGATACATATACGGTTACAGTTACATCGGTTACATATATTTCCCAAGCCCTAAGCCCCGTGTCCCATGCGAGGAGGAAGGCTCCGTGTTTTGGCGTCCACCACCGGCGACCATGCCGATTTCGGACCTGGGGCGGCGTTTGGGCGCACGCGGTGGCCGCTACTGGACCAAGACGGGTCCCGATGCGATATCTCTCCAGGAGAGCGGGGTTTGTGAGCATGTAATTTGTAGCGTCCGCCGCCGCCCCTGCAAAAATTAAGTTACCACGCACGGCCAGTGCTAGCTTCTTTAGGGCGTCGCTGCTTGTGCCAGGAGAGCCATCGGCTTCAAATCCTGTCCGATGCTGGGCAGCTTAGACATATTCGGATCCTGGCCGAAACTGGCGAAGTCTACGTGGAGATGTCTGGGCAGGTGGTGCTCAATCCGGATGACTCGCTCGCAAGGAACCATCCAGTGGAGGTCAAGGACGCACAGATGAAGTCATTTGGCACCTTCTCCGTAAGTGGCGTGTTCTGGACGGGATGCCTTCAAGCACTGGCCTTCACTATCCGATATATTCTCTTTATTCAGGTCGAGCAAGGCAACACCTTGCAGACTCGTTGGGGGCGGGTCGGGGTGAGTGTCTTGACTCACCTTGCATCTTCGATTGCTGCCACGGATCTGTTTTCAATCGCTGTTGCAGGAGCACCTGCCTCTGCCTTGGTGCAACTTCTTGCTGTGCCTGCGCTTACGAGTGCCAGCACGCCGCTGCTGCTAATGGGAGCATCGGAAACGGTTGCAGTTGGGGCCTCCGCCTTGTTCACACTCTTCGTTCCAGTTTTCTTCCACTACTGGAGGACGCGTCACGCATTCCCGGACCGGAAGCTACGCCGAAGCTTCTTGTGGATGCTGGGCTTGTCCACATGCGCGCATGGACTCCTGCTGGTGTTGCTGCTGATTTGCACAGCCTACGTTCTCTTGATCCAGGATGGTTACTACGTGGCAGGATCCTTCTTCTTGCCTTGTGTCGCAGCCGCGAGTGAAGCGCTCTGTGTCGCCGCGTCGCGCGAGGCCTATTGCAGATTTGCCTGGCCCCATCGAACTGGAGGGACCGGAGCTGTGCCTGGGGATCAGCTGAACATTCCTGTGACCTTCTCCTTGGCCCTCATTCACGGTGGTGTTGAGTGCATGCGTCTGACAGCCGTCCTGGCTGGGGTGAACCTTGGAGCTTGCATAGTTTTCCGAAGTTGCGCTTGAGCAGGAAGCACCTCTCTTCCGCTTCTTAATCTATGCTAAGGATCCGGAATGACGGCCTTGAGTGGATTGTAGTCGCAGTTGCCACCTACACCATGAATATACTGGTGCGGCTGGGGTGGATCCGCTTCGCTCTATTCAGTGCGGTGCAAGCCACATGTGGCAATCGAGTCGCGCTACGCTTGTTCGGTGTTACTGCCTGGACAAAGCTTCACGATGAGATCAAGATTTATTTGGGTTACTTCAGGTTTATTCCCGTTCTAGCATTGGTGGTTGCCAGGGCCATTGTGCACGGCTTACAGCCCTTTGATCATCCTCAGACGCCCGGTTTCAGTCTCTCGGCCTTTTGTGCGATCCTTGTGTTCCTCCTCACAGAGATCCTGGAAGATGCGACCGTCGTGAAGCAGCTGCTGCCCGAAAGCCCCACGACGGTGGCGATGCAAGAAGGGCCGCCATCCTTTATGCATCCGAGATCGCTGGCAGCCTTCCACCATCGGCTCAGGCCAGCGGGGATTCTTAAGCTTCAGAGCCCCAGAGTGGGCAACTAAACCTAAGAGCCCCAGAGCGCCGTCCGAGGCCGCAAGGAAGTGACCCGGCAAGCCGGCGAGTTCAGTCATTTGGGCCTGGACGCCAGGCCCAAGGTCTGCAGAGCCTGGGCCTCTCTTCATCTCGTCTCCTTCCCGTCCCTGAACTTTAGACAAGGCTTAGAAGAGCCAAAGCTTTGGGAGCCTGGAGATCTCTGCGGAGCTCTAAGGATTGTGCGCGGCACGAGCAGCGACGCCTGGGGAAAGTTGCGGAGGAACCTTGGCGAGGCGAGCCGGCTGGTGCCGTCTCCTTCACTGCACGGACTCAGAGAGCTGCCCTTCATCCTCCAGTTTTCCCTCGCGGGCGCCCTGTGCAACATGATGACAATCCTGCTGGCCGCCTTCTTGGGGGATGGATACCTGCGCGGCTTGCATCCCACGCCTTGCGGCACTGAGAGCCTTCTCCAGAACTGGATTATATGGACGGTGCCGTTATCATGCTAAGGGGAGAAGGAGGGACCCTTAATAAGGAGCCTTGCGTATCTACCCTGAATATCGCTATTATATACCCATTATATAGCTCATTATAGGGTAGGGGTTAGCAACTGATCTTCTGCCCACTCTTCGCACTTCTTTGCCCTTCGGTCGCAGAGCAAAGCCTGCTGGGATCTGCTGGGTGCTCAGGGTTCCTTTAAAAGGGATCTATAAGGGCTATCATATAAAAGGGTTCTATAAGGGCTATTATCTCTGTTGCGGACATGGATGTGCTTGGATCTTCTCCAGGACAGGATAAGGATAAGTGTTAAACTGTCTTTACCATGCGACCAGTGGCAGCCGCTGCTGCTCTTCGCATCTCTGCTGAGGACCCTTGCATCATTAGAGGCATGACCTGGTTGTAAACAGACGATTCGCGTTTACCAAGCTGGGATCCTCCGAGATCGTTTCGCTGCCCTGCATTGCGCATGATTGAATCATGCGCGATAGCGAGCTCGCAGAGCAAAAAGAATTCGGCACCCGGCCAAAGACAATTTCGAACGCAGCTACAGCACATCCCGAATGTAACAATCGCCGCTGGACTCTAGCTCGAAGCCCTAAACCCTAAACCCCCCGAAACCCTAAACCCAAACAAAACCCTTAACCCTAAACCTTCAACACCTTAAATTCTCGCTGCATTCGGGTGCAGTGCCCAGGTTCATTGGCAATCCGGATGCCCTGGAGGCTTCCAAGGCCCGGCTGGGCATTGCCTGTGACGTTTCTTCCCAAACCCTATACCTTACCCGTAGCCGAAAACACCTACCTTTTCAAGGAACTATATATAAAGACCATAATAAGGAACCCCAAAAAGGTAGGTCTTTTCGGCTGCAGGTAAACCCTAGAGATAGTTGGCTTGTGAGTCTCAAGCTGTGCACTTTAGAAGCTTTGAACTTCCAAAGATCGACGGTAGCGTCATGTCAGGCTTCGTTGAAGGGTTCCTTGGATACAGTTCCTTTTTCGGGGCTCTGGTCTTTTTCGGGGCTTTTGGGATTCAGGGCCTTTGGGTTTCAGATTTTGCATGCACGGTGTTTTTGTGCCAGCTCGGTCGATGTCCTGCCCAGCAGAGTCCCAGAGACTTAGGGTCTAGGGTTTAGGATTCAGAGTTTAGGGTTTGTTAAAGGTTGCTGAGCTCTCTACTCAGAGATGCTGCAGGAAATGCTGCCACGACTTGCCGCCGTGCAGCGATTTCTGGCCTGAAGACCGTGAGCCCCGGTCTAAGCACTCGGTTCGTGACGTGAGCAGGTGCGGACCGGCAGTTGCACACTACATCCCAGTCCCAGACCAATCTTATTATTGCATTTGCCAGACAATTTTGTTGGAGGGCCCTAGAACCCCCAGAAGAGCATCGATTTGAAGAGGTTTGTGCGTGGGGCAGCTGGTACAGAGAAGGACCAGCAGCGCAACATGGCTTTGCTGACTGCTCTTCGGTGTGCTATTGAGTCCAAACATGTGGACAGAGATATTGGCGCCCTGAAACCTAAACCCTAAGCCCTAAACTAAACCCTCAAACCGTGTAGCTCAAGTCTTCATTCGTGGACATCTTGACACGTCCCAGCCTGTTAGGATCTACCCGGACAGCCCCATCATAAACTGAGAGTCCCGGTTTGGATCACCAAAATAGTACGGCACCCATACAAAAAGGGACCCTACAAGGGACTCCAACTTTTCGTACCGTTCTAGAAAGCCTCTAGAAATTCTTGAAAGTTCCTTTTTTGGGAGCGCAAAAAGCACCCCCTAAACTTGAGGACTAACCTTTTTTGGGGGATCCCGATGGAGCTCGCTCGGCGCCCCCTGCCTCTGCAGGAGAGACTGGCCTCTGCTTGCAGGCAGAGGCTCGGACCCGTCATCCGGATGCCTCCGATGTATTGTTGTTGTTATATTGCTATTGTTATTATTATTGTTATTGTTATTGTTATTGTTATTGTTATTGTTATTGTTAGTGTTATTGTTATTGTTGTTATTCGTAGTAGTACTGTTTTTTTTTATATTTTGGGGTCCTACGAACAAACTGTAGTAGCAGCACCAGAAATAGGAAGAGGAGTAACAGGAATCATAGTAATATTAATCGAAGTAACAAAACCGAAGACTTCAATAGTTATCATGATATGTTGTGCCTTTGAAGAATCACCAGTCTTCTTCAATTGCCGGTACGTGACCTCTGCCAATGACTTGTGACACAGTGCGTGACATGGCGATGCTACGGAGTGGGGTGGCCGAGTACAGAACTTCCTGAAAGCGCAGCACTGGATGCCAGGAAGATATCAGCGGAAGAGCGGTCCTGAAGGCCTTGCGATGGCTACGAAGGCCGCTTGGGCATTCAACAGGCTTCCGGGAATGGTTTTGTGTTTAGATCCGCGCTAACACTCGGACATCGCAGCTGCCCGCAGTCTTCAGCAGAGGCTGCTCTACGCCTCTGCAAACTCCCCGGGGTGCAACCGATCGGGGTGTTGCATGTCCCTGCTTTCATGCCTGATGAATGTGCTGCTCGCCCGCCACCTACGTCACGGATCCCTGAGCCTTTAGCCCTGATCCCCGAACCCCAAAACTGCTTGTTAAACTTCTGCTTTGTCTGGGCACAAAGCTCCGGAACCTTGTGTGCAGGAAGAGACGAAGATCTGCCATAAGTTTCAATGCCTCGGGCCCAGCTTGCACGTCTCAGAAGCTGCTTTGGCCCCTGAAGACGCCATGACGCTCCAACTCCCAAGAACCCGCTTCCTCGGACATCTTTCGGGTTTAGAGTTTTGGGGGGTTTAGGAGGGTGGCTGTGACAGAGAAAGCCCAGTTCGCCCCTGAGTTCTGCAATATACCTATATCGCGAAAGCTTAAACCCTACACTCTAAACCCTCAGCCGTAAATTCTAACCCTTAAAACTCCAACCCTTGAGCCCAAAAGACATCAAAAGACCTGTGGATGAAGAGGTGTTGGCCTTCACTTGCGTTCGCGTAGTGACTACCTGTGGCATGAGCAAGCCACTTGCAATACCAAGCCTCTTGTCACGGTCACAGGGCTCCACACGCTTTTGCTTCGTCGCAGCCGTTCTGAGTCTGTCCCCAGGCAGCTATCGCGCCGGCTGAACCAAGTTTGGGGTTTAATGGTTTTAGGGTTAGGGTCCGAAGTGTAAGGTTTTAGGGTCTAATCTTAAGGGTTTGAGGTTTAATAGTTTGGTTGAGGCAATGACGTCGAAGCTTGGTTTTATGCTTCACGTCTGAGCCGTTTGAGAAGCTGCGTCAGAGCGGGCTGGGTCAACCCGTCTTGCAGTAACCGAGGATGCTAGGCCAGGTTCCCGATACATATAGGGGCCTTAATAACTAGAATAGGGTTTTGGGGCTGATTATACTAAAATTATAATAAGGAACCCTTAATAATTCCTTAATATAGTATAGGTAACTATTGAGGCCCCTGTAGTACCTAGACATGTCTCTTGTTGTAAGTTACCACTGGTAACTGTGACTGTGTGGGAGGCTTACCTGGCAAGACTCTCACGTGGTTGCCCTAATGGTTGCACTCCTAAGCCCCTAAACCCCCAAACCCTTAAACCCCTAAACCCCTAAACCCTAAAACCCTAAAGCCCTAAACCCGTAGACCCTTAAGCAAGCGAGCTGCCAGAGTGTTTCGGCTCGCACAGATTTGAGAGGAATCTGTGAAGTAAACGTGCATTTCCTGCGCCTGCTAATGGAAAAAGTAATGGTAATAAGAGTAATAATCGTAATAATAATGATAATAGTAATAGTAGTAGTAATAATCGTCTCCTTGATGCGCCGAGGTGGGGGTTCCTTTCCCCGCGCTGGCCTTGAGGCACTTTGCGCTTCTGGGCTCGTTCTCTGGGTCGGAGCCTTGATTCCGAGACTCAAGGTTTAGGGTTTTGGGTTCAGGGGTTTAGGGTTCTAGGGTTTTGGGTTTTGGGGTTTAGTGTTTTGGGGTTTTGGGTTTAGGTCAAAGGAGTAGCTCCTAAACCTAAACCTTCAAAGCCACACAGAACCGGCTTTGAGTTTCACTCGAGTTTCGGCTGATCAAAGCCGTAAGGCTTGCAACGGAAGCTTGAAAATCATATAATCGAAGTGGACCGTAAGCAGCTTTTCATTTTATTGAAGCGTAATAATATTGAATAGTAGTACAGTATAATATGTAGCTTCTGCATCAATCCATCTCCAGGGCCCTGTGCCTCCGAAAGCTTGGCCCTTGCGTAGCTTGAAGTAAGAGAAACCTCTGCTTGTGGAGCTGCTGGCTGCTGGCTTCAAGCTTTGGCAAAGTCTGACAAGTAGAATCCTCTAACATATTCCAACCTCCATGTTCCTGTGCCCCAGAGGCAAGGCAATGCCACTTGCTTGGTGCTTCGCAATAATGGTCGGAGTGCCCGTGCAGGGCTTGCGACCAGCCATTGACAAGGCATGGACCACAGCGTCTGAGGCCACACGCGAGCAAGACAAGGAGGGGACAGAAGGAGACAGCTGTTGTTGCCAAGCGGCTCTCAGGGAGAGCCGATTTCAGATGGATGGAGGTAGTTGCGAGATCCTGAAGCACGAGCACCCAAGTCGACCTCACTGGTTTTGGCCCGATGAGAAGCGCTGCTGCTGGCCGCAGAACAAGCTCTTCTGCGTCATGCCGAACCTTTGTCATAGTTGGGTGACATTTTACATTTTCATGGGTACTTAAACCCAATAAGGAATAAAAACGTACATTTCTACTCCTATCCCAACAATGAACTAGGAACCTCCTCGACCTTCTGGGAGGCTTCGGCTCGCATGGAGGCGTCGTAAGCGAGGAGAAGTGGTGCCCCACTCGGACCTCTCCCACGGGAACGGTGCGGGTTCCCGACATGCAGGCTGCCAGGACCAAGCTCGAGTCCGAGCGGCGCATGACCAAATCCGTCATCTTCATCGCAGCCAAGCTTGCATCTTTGTCATAGTTGGCTAACATTTTACAATTTATTTGGTACTTAAAACCAATGAGGAAGAACAATGTAGATTTGTCTTATGGGTTTTGTAAAACCAATAAGGAACAACAGTTTTCAATTTTTCATACGATCCCAACCATGATCTAGGCATGGGGACTGGGAGGATCAGGATTCGAAAACAGCCACACGGGAGACGTGAAAGACATCATCGACCAAGCGAGAGATGCTCTGTCATAGTTGGGAAAAACACTTTAGATTTTTGCTGGGTACTTAAAACCAATTTCGGGGTAAAGTTTGGGGTATAGGGTTGAGGAATAACAATGTGCATTCTAAACCCCATCCCAACCATGAGCTAGGATGCCCAAAGTGCCGTGAATGCCGTGGTGGGAGCCACGGCGCCCCCGGACGGAGTTCTCTCGGGTCCCGGCGGCGAATGCCCAGGGGGTGTCAGCTGGGATTACAAAGGCAGCAAGAGACTAAATGCCAGTTTGGGATAACTGTTCTTTTTTTTTTTCAAATCCCTCTTCTTGACTATATACATATATCTATATAGTGCATGTATATATATACATTGTATATATATATATACACTGTTATATCGTATATATAAATAAATAGGTAAATAGATATACATATATATATATATACACATACACAGATCCATATATATATATATATATATATATATATATACATATATATATATATAGATCGAGCCCTGGCTTTAAAGAGCGCCCGGGGGCTGTTCAAAGCGACACCCAGGACGGGGTTGTCCGCGAGGCTGCAGGTTGCTTGGGAGGCCTTCGGCCTCTGGGACGGGGACCTGCACCTGCGTCAGAGTTGGGTAAAGTTGTAAATTTTGTGGGTGCTTAGAAGTTTGGGGCTTAGCGATAGGGGTTTTTGGCGGTGAATAGAAGTTTGGATGTTGAGTACTGTCTCAACCATGAACTAGTAACTAGGCACGATGACTGGCTTGTCCTTGGGCGAGTTGATGAAAAGTGCCACTGGGAGATCTATGATCCGGAGGACGCCCCGCGGCCCCACTGCAGTAACTTCCTGAAGCTGAAAGTGAAGGGGAGAACGGCGAATATATGTTACAAGCTGCCGGAGAATGACACGCCGAAAGTGGTGGGCATCCATGATCCTCAGTTTGATGAGTACAATCCAGATGTTGGAGTACGCCAGGTCGAGTGGCAAGCACTTGACAGACGTAGGAGTGTTTAGTTATCAACCGAAAGCCCTGAAGACTACAACATCAGATACGGGTTATCGATGGGACTGCAACATTGGATACAGTTTTCAGTGGGCTAATGTAGGAACCTGATTAAGAAACCCTGGGCCTATAACCCAAAAATAGTAGGATTCATTTTGGGAACCCGAATTAAGGCCCAAGGTTTCTTTATCAGGTTCCTACATTACATGCCTTAGTGTTCCACTTCCCCGGAAAGGTTGAGTGGTACTGGGACCATATTGTCGGCAGGGAGCTGAAGCGAAAGCGAGGCTGCTACACTCTCATGGGCTCAAGCCTACATGAAGTCAGCCCTTGCCCAGACAACGTGCTCAAGGAGCTTGGGGCCTGGTGTAACGGAGTTCACTGCGTCGCCGGCAGGGAGAAGAAGAAGGTCCCGTGCCCTTCAGACCTCCGATGTCCCTAGCGAACGTGGGGCGCGAGCCCTGACCCGGCCTTGGCCTGGGTGGAAGTGCGCCCCCCAAAAAAGCCCTCCGTTCCTGCAAAGAATGGCAGACTGGACGCTGCCGGCGAAAGGCTTCAGACAGAAACGTGTGTGTTGGTAGCTTTCTCAGCATCCCTGCAGGCTGCCTGCATTCGCCACGGCAGTTGCTGTCACTTGCTGCATGTTGCATCAGCACCTGTCTCAGCCTTGCTGGGACAAAACACTATCTTCACCCTGAGCCCCAAAACCCCAAAACCCCTATACCCCTAAACCCTAACCCCATCTAACCCCTAAGTCCGGAAAGCCCCTAAGAACAGGGGGGGGGCGCCCAGGCCGGAGCTCCGCTCGCAGAGGAAGCGGCGCCGCGGACTTCGAGTTCAGGCAGGGCTCTTTCAAAGCGCTTTAAGGGGGTTCCCTAAACCCTTAAACCAAAAAAAAACCTTAATCCGTAAACCCTAAACCCTACACACCTCAAAGGATCTATAAGGCTATGAGGGTTACTGCAAGAGTCCCTTGGAAGGTGGGTTTAGGGGTTTAGGCTTCAGGAATTCGAGTTCAGGTTGCCTCTGGGTCTTAGGCCCCCCCCCAGAAAAGCGGGGGGGGCGGGCGGTAGCTTAGGAAGGGATCCTCTAAAGGGATCTATAAGGGTTACTATTAAGGGTGCTATGAAGGGATCTATAAGGGTGAAAAAAAGGGCACTATGAAGGGATCTATAAGGGTTATTATTTAGGGTACTATGAAGGGATCTATAAGGGTTATTATTTAGGGTACTATGAAGGGATCTATAAGGGTTACTATTTAGGGTACTATGAAGGGATCTATAAGGGTTATTATTTAGGGTACTATGAAGGGATCTATAAGGGTTACTATTTATGGTACTATTGGGTTCTTTGAAGGGATCTGTAATGTAGGGGCCTTTATGAGGGTTCTAGAAGGGGTCCTTGAAAGGGTACTATAAGCCTTGAAGGGATCCATAAGGGTTACCATTAAGGGTGCTATTGGGGTTTAGGTGTTGAAGGTTTAGATGGGGTTAAGGGTTTAGGGCCAGGGGGTCTAGGGGGATCTACGGGTTTATGGGCGGAAGGGTTTAGGGTTTCAGGGTGCCAGTTTGGAGGTTGGGCAATTCTTGAACTTACGGGGCCTTGGGGGTTGAGGAACTTATGGCTTAGGGCTGAGATTCTCTAGGGATTGGGCTTCAGGAGGGGGGCCCGAAAGTGTCCTGAGCCCTTAAACCCTAAACCCTCACCTAAAACCCCAAACCCTAAATCCTAAACCCAACACCTTAAACCCTACCGTACAACCTGATCCCTGAACCCTAAGCCCTAAACCCCAGAACCACAGAAGAGAGCGGATTCGACTCGTGCCCTTTCGGACGACGCCCAAACTGGAAAAGCGTAATACCCCGTGACGTGCGCGAAACAGAGATTTCTAAAAATAACTCAGAAACTAAAAGTTTACGTCATCTTTCCCACATCTCCAAACCTTAGAACTTCTGCCCGAACTCCGAATCCTCAGTGTTAGGGTTTCTCGTTTAGGGTGGCCCTTTTAAACCCCAAGCAAGACCCTATTCAGAGGGCCTACCCTGACAAAATCAGGGAGCGCCTGTTAACGCCTCTGCCAGCTGGACGAGCCATCGCCTCAATCGGTTTAGGATTTCGGGGTTTAGGGTCTCAGTGCTTTTTTGGGGCCTTGGAGGGTTTAAGGTTTTAGGTTAAGTTAAGGGGTCCCTTAATTTCCCGGTACCTTCAGGCTGCCCCTCACTGCCCTGCAAGGCTTCAGGGTTTGTTCGGGTTTTTGGCGGGTAGGTTTTGGTGTCAGGCAATAGTAAGTGCACGTTCAGGGCTCCCAGGGCCTGCATGGTAAGTAGGGTAGGGTAGGGTGATGTAGGGTATAGGGTATTATAAGGTATACAGTATGGGCTAGGGTAGGGTATGTTAGGGCCTCCAGCCTCTGCTGAGGCTCCCCAAGTAAGCCAAGCTTTCAAGGCTTTTCTCGCACCTAGGGCTTCCTCTTCAGGGCTTCGAAGCAGCCTTCAGCCCTGAACCTTATTAGCCCAAGTAAACTATAATCGCAGTACGCACTAACGCTTACCGACCTAAGCCTAAAGGGGACAGCTGTTGCTTTCATCTTGCGGACATGCTTGGGCCTCGGCACTTTGTACGTTTTTCTGCTGTCGACCCGAATTCCCGGTAAGGTCTGAGCCAGCATCCAAAGCGGCGCGCGTGGAAGGTCGGTTGTTGTCATCACTTGATGAGATGTGGCCTTTGAGTCTTCAGTACGCGATCTGAGGAGGGCTCATATTACGCAGTGGCATGCGGCACGTTGCAGGCCTTCCCAAAGATGGAGGGCCACCCACCTTACACCGTGGCGTGCTGAGCCATTCAGTGTCACTGTGTAGGACCTCCGGGAAGGAAATGGGCTCCCAAGCTTGGCAGTAGTGCCCCTAGTCTTGATAATGGAGGATTTTTGCATCGATGAGGCCCCTTTGATTGCTTGAGTTCATAGCATTGTTCGCGCCGTTTTCGTCGTGGCCATTTTCGTTGTAGTGTTATGCTTCGGGCCATAAATGATGCGAGACATGCCAGACAATAGGTGCCAATCTTGGACTCCTGGCAATGAAGTGGAGGTTTGGAGCGAATCGCTCCAGTCCTGGCTGGTGGGGCAAGTTGTGGAAGTCCGTGGCAACATGATCGACGTGGAGTTTGTGAGCAAGGTTCATGGCATCTTCCACAAGTTTCGCAAGCGGATCTGCCCATTCCTCATTTGTTCTGCTTTGACAGCTTGCTTGCGTTTGCGTGAACCATTTTTGGATGGTTCTGTCGATATGAGTGCTTTCGGGCTACGGTTGGTTGGGTGTAAGGTCTGCTTTGCAGCCTTATGCCAAGTGCTCCACAGTTTGGGGGTGCATGTTGTAAGTGGTTGAGGTTCGAGGCTCGGAGAAGTGCGCAGTTTGATTCGGGCATCTGTGACCTCATCCTGCAATGCATTTTGCTCATGTGACTGGGTCAGTTTTGTTGCTGAGGCCTGAACTCGGAGAATCTGCGTCTGTGTATGCAAACAGACGCTGATGTTGAGCGGGAGCAAGATCCAGATGCCTTCTCGTGCAGTTTGTCCGGACGCAGGGCCTTGAACTCTACAGGTCTGGATGTGGAATGTGAGCAAGATCCAGACTTCTTTGTCAGTTTTTTGCCAAGTTGGTTTGGACGAGAAAAGGACCAGAAATGCTGCAGCAAGATTTTAGAATTCCTGGGAAAGCCGTTGAAGTCAAAAGGTGTGTGGGTGAACGATCCAACGTACATGTTCTCTCCAGGAGACACGGACAGCACGAATGGTGGGGCAGACCAAGCATTCACTCAGAAGTACACCGAGCTCTTTCTCACGCAGAACAAGGATGGTCACGAATTACTTTATGAGAAATACACACCTCCGACGGTTTCCGTTGTGGCAGGGCTGGATTCCAACATCAAGAAATCAGTGCATGCTGGTGCCGGAGGCAAGTTGGAACTAACAGAGTTGAAGGGCCCGGCAGCCTCCTGGGAATCGGATCTGTCGGCATTTGCTGACAAGGCATCTAGCGCAGGTTCAGAAAATTTGAAATGGAGAGTGCTTGTCATTACTCACGCGGCACGGCTTGGTTCAGCAAATCTGGCAAACCAATTTAATGTCGACATGATGAGCAAAAAGGCATCCAGCCACCTGCAGCAAGTCCTGCGTGATTCCCATCAGAAGGAGTTGCGGAATCAGCCAGACAAGGCAGAAGAATCCATGAACGAGTGGTTTGCTTCGTACGGAGAAAGCTACGTCGTCAAAGTTTATCTTGGAGGCGTGTTGGAGTTGACATTCAAAAAGATATCTGGGCCCACAAAGTTCCGAGCTCACTTTGACTTGAATGGTCAAGCAGCAGATTTCAATCAGGCCAAGGCTGCTGGCGGCGTGGGCGTGGGGCAAGAGGAAGCTGGCTTTGAAACCAATGTGAGCTTTGATCACCGCGGTGGAGGTGTAAGCCTTCCACCAACTACATGGAAGGCAGGAACCTCAGTCCAGGACCTCACCCGCAGCATCAAGAAATGGCAGGAGTCAGTTGCACAACAGCCTGCAGTAGTGAAGGCAGACTTGTGCAAGTACACGGAGCATCAGGAGTTCCGAGACATGAAGACTAAGCAGTGGCATGACAAGACGATATTTGAGGAAGAGCTACAGCATCAGGCTGGGATCGTGCAGGAGCGCGAGAAAAAGATTCGGGAGATTGAGAAGCAGAGGGGCCTTGACCAGCAGCGCTACGAGGCAGATCTTCGGAATATTCAGGATCAGAGGGACCTTGACCGGCAGCACTACGAGGAAGAACTTTTGAAGATTCAGGATCGGAGAGACCGTGACCGGCAGCAGCACGAGAAAGAAGTTGGAGAGCTTCAGCAGAAGATAGAGCAGCAAGCGAAAGACTGGAAAGAGCGACAACAGAAATATATGGCATCAGTGGCTGAGGCTCAGAAACACTTGTCAAACAACACCATCGCGAATGCTGTTACTTATGAGCTGCCCAGGGCCTTGAGAGATCTCAGCACACAAATCGCGAACGACCTTGCCGAAGGCCCGAGGCGTAGAAGTAAAATGCACGCAGGAAGCAAAAGTTTCACGCAGTAGTTCCAAGATGGACTTTGATCGCCGCTCACCTGGTGATCTCGATATAGTTTGTCTGCTTTGAAGGAATTGGGGCTTTGTAGAGTCGGGCCTGGGAGCATGTTTAGATTGGACGTGATTGGGCTGCTACGGGTGTGTGGGGCTTTTGATGCATCCGCCCAGAATTCCTGGTGCTCGCGTTCGCCATTGCTTCTGAAAGGTATCTGCAGGCAGACCATGGAATTCAGACTGTCGACAAATTTGTTGCTTGCGCCCAAGGTGCAGCAACTGCCGAGTTCTGATATCGATAAGAGCATCTTCCACTGTCAGAAGCTGTCAACGTGCAGAGTTCAACTTCTATCTAGGCCGCCTTCTTGCAAAAGGCCCCCCTAGAAAACTCCCTCATTTGAGGGCCTTGGGCACTAGACCCTTTGAGGGAAGGCATCCGGAGGCTTCTGGTTCTGTAGAGACCAGAGCTATGCATGAACTGCGCGGGTCCATAATTGCTTGTGTACATGCGCATAGCTTGCTTGGACTTGCCGCCTTCGCACGTTGGCAGCGTGGCAGTTTCGAAGTGCATCTGCCTGGTGCGCAGTGCTATCCGTGCACAATGTGCACCACAGCCGAAAGCGGGAAGACTGGATAGACATGCCAAGAACCCTGAGTAACACCTGAGACGGAGAAATGTGCTGGCAGGACGGAGGAGCACGGTGCTCGGCATGCTTTACACCAAAAGTGACAAAAATTATCAAAATGATACGAATGACAAGCGTGTTCTTTTTTGCTATGGGAGTTTTCCCGTCGCCAAGCCAACCGTCCGATCCGAGCCGGTTTGAGCCGTTGCGAGCCGCTGCGATAAGAGTGGCCTGCAAGGTTGCGGGAGCGGCGGTCAAATCCGTCAAATCCGTCGTGTTTGTCGCGTCCGTGGGGAAGTGGTGGGCTATCGGTGGGGAAGCGACCGTGGAGTCCGTCAAATCTGTCAAATCCGTCTAATGCTGAAAACGTGCCTCGAAGAGCCGTGGACCTTCCACAATGCATCACGTGACATTTGTGACTTTTTTGACATTTTTGACGCGTCAGCCTCTCCTCTGTCAAGAGAGAGATCTCTCATACGCTTTGTACACAGTGTCAAATTCTAGAAGTTGTTTCAAAAGCTCTAAGCTTTCTAAAACGCACTATTTGACACATTTGGCAAATGTAACATGACACCTTCTTGCACATCAAAAGGAAGCTTACTCTCGTGTTTTTCGAGTTCAACGTCAGGAAAATGACAAGCCGTCATTTCCGTCATTATCGTCATTTTCAGCGCCCTCCTGCATGTAAAAGGTGGGGCCCAGTCCGCGTCATGTGCTCGGCAGGCTCTATGCCAGAAATGTAAAGTCGCAAGCCCATGTTTGATGCAAGGACGAGAAGCAGCCTTAAAGCTTGGCGCGCTGCAGCCCGTCTTTCATTTGGCCCACTTGGCACAGGTCTGCTTGCACGGTTGTCGCGTCGGGGAAAACTGCCTCATTGGCATGAGAACCACGATACTGTCAGATTCTCGGAAAGTGGTTGCGATGATACTGCCAAGCCTGGTGTATTCCTATGCCAGGTCTTTGGCAAAAGCTGCTTGCTGCAGGCCAGGCAACGTAGTGGGGCTTTACCCTGTCTCATGCCAGTTATCTTCATTGGACAAGGAATGAACTTTCCAGACAACTCCCTCATTGGCGGCAACCCTGCAAAGAGGCGTCCTTTTCAGGATTGCCAGTGCGATGCTTGCTGTTGAACCCCAATGCTTTGATGATTTCGCGATGGCCGCGATGGTGTAGGATAGCAGATTTGTAAACAGATACAGCAAAAATGGCAGCTGTCATGAATGACCCACGTGGAACCGGTGACCAGAAGTCTAAGCAGAGACAGAGCCAGACCGGTATTGGGCGTGGTGTGTTCGTTTGCCATTCCTTGTTGGGGGAGTCGAGTTCATAGTGCCCTACATAGTAAGATCCTTATTATAAGATATTATAAGGACCCCAAAATAAGGTACCCTAATTGTCGGAAACTCGCACAGGTTAAGGTTTGCGGGTTTCTCGCTTTGCTATTTCGGTGGATGCATTCACGATTGACGGGTCGTAGCTTTGCTTGGGGATTTGTGCCTGAGCCGTGCTCAAAGTTGCATAAGACCTGCCCGGGCTGGGTCAACCCGTCTTGCAGGAAGCGAAGATGCTAGAAGAGGTTCCTGATATGCCTCGACTTGTCTCTTGTGGTAACCGTTACCTTCCCCCCAAATACCAAACCCTAAACCTTAAACCCAAAACGACGCATGCCTGGTGACTCTCTAGCGTTTCTATGCCGACTGCCGAGGTGGGGGAAAATCTGTGCCGGGCCAAAGGCCAGGGTCCTCCAGCTTCAAATTATTAGCAATTAACAGTAATAGTACTAGTAATTATATGTGTATATATATATATATATATATATATATATTAACTTATCTTATTACTCGGGCTTCGGGCTCTTGGGTTTCGACCTGACGGGTATTTCGCTGCAGAGCGCGGGCAAGAGTATCTGTGTGATATCGCCCGGACATGTCTGGACTGCTGCTAACTGATTTGAGAAGCCGGGGGCTTGCATCGTACTTGCAAGTGGAATCACCTCTTTGGGGAAGCGATGCCGTCACCTTCGAGGTTGTCTCGTACTCTACCGATGCCCACACCCGAGCATTGTATGTGTCGCCTTGCTCGGCATCGTTACATTTGTTTCCTGTGGGTGAACGCATCCTAGTCAACTGGCAGACGTCTTAACGATTGCACTCCTTTGTCGAAGGAAAATGCAGTTTCTGGGTTGCTCATGCCCAAGGGCAAGCATCACCCAATCGAATGGATGGGTGAGGTGCACTGAACTGTTGCTATGTCCGCCGCAAGGCTTCCTTTTTGCTTTACTCGTCGCGTCGTAGCTAGCTGTGTAGCACTGCTGCCTGCGGATTTTGGCAACAGAAGCACAAGTTCAGCAGGGATTCGCACAAAGCAGAACAGGGCTGTTGATTTACAAGCTCGAGGCGTGCAGTTGCTCGTATGTGCTCTTCGCTGCTGCTGTTTTTGGCGGATCAAGACTGTTCCGACATTTCCTTTCAGGAAAGTAGCCAGCTCCACTTTGTTTGCGATATATCGGAAAGATGATGCTTGGCTCCTTTAGCAGACTGCTTCTCCCGTTTGTTCTGGCACCAACCGGTTTGAACAAGCTGCGTGCGAGTCCGACCTTGCAGCATCTCAGGTTCCGTTTGTTCCGGCTTTACAGTGTCGTCGTCTTGGCTTCCATTCGCAACAGTGCTTCGGTGCGTCCGGCCCGAAACATGGACGAGCAGGCCGATGCCATGCAGGCCGAGGGGTGTGATCCTTCCCTAGCACAGGCACTTCGCCACCCCCCCCCCTCGAGTCTCACGGTCACGCTTGAACTCTAACCCCCAAAACCACAAGTTTTGCACCCCCCCTCACTGCACCGCCCAGGAGCAACCGTAAAGCCTGGAGCCTAAACTTCTGCGGAAAGAAGCCCTACTTGGAGGTTCATGGGACTTAGCACGTACAGTTATTATAGGTACCCTAATTGGAGTTATAAGTGAATGCTATAGTTCCCTCGTTTATAACCCTACTAAGTCCCACGATCCTCCAAGTGGCCAGGGCAGCTCCCAGCCTCAGCTCCAGAGCAACGCGACTCGAGCTGGCGGCTTGGCACCGGTGAGGGTTTGGGGCTTCAGTAACGCCCGAAATCCCAAAACTCCTGAACCCTGAGACCTGAATCCTAAAGCCTATAGACCCTAAAGCCCCAAACCCCGAAGCCTAAACCCTGAACCCTAAGCCCTATACCCCTGATCCTTGAACCCTGAACCCTAGACACTTCACCCCTCCAGCGTTGCAAGAGGAACTTTTTGAGGGGACGTTATTTAGGGTCTTTGCAGGCTTTTGTTAAGTACAAAGCGCTTCGTAAGAAACTTTGCAGGCTTTTTTTGTCAGCTCTTCTCCCAGGGTTTCAGTTTCAATTTCGCCCTTCTCCCAGGGTCTCAGTTTCAATTTCAGCTTTGTATCTTTCTTTGCACCATGGCAGCAGCAATGAAGCAGTAGTCAGCTCTTTTTTGAACATGCGCTGCGGCCCAGACGTATCTGCGCCTGAGTATTTTCGAGGGTCAATTTGGCCTCTCAGAGCTCGGCTCTTACCCTAAGCCTTAAAACCTAAACCCTCAGACCTAAAACCCTAAACCCTAAACCCTAAGTCAGAGTTGGAGCATACTTGGAGGTTAAGTAGGGTTATAAGCAGGGTAACTATACTTACAACCCATATTAAGGGACTTATAACCCTACTTTTGACTACCCCTGAACCTCCAACTATGAGAAAGCTTCAGCAACCCCCGAAACCCTAAACCCTGGGCGGAGGAGGTTTCCGGAGGTGAGCGCTTAAAGGAAGCCTAATAGCAGGCTCCCGAGAGATCCCAATACCCCCCTTACTGAAGGAATATACCTTAAACCGTAACATTAAGGCCCCCGTAATCTAAGGTATACTCCTTTATATACGGGGTGTTGGGGTCTCTGAGTCCTTTATGGTATCTATAATTCAAGGTATATTCCTTAATTTAGGGGCTATTGGGATCTCTGAGTCCTTGATGGTATCGCAAAGGACCTCCCTATCCGGCCTGCGATCCAACGAAGTCCATCGCAGCGCAGATCCCGGCAGTGCAATGCTCCTGTGGTGCACCGATGAAACCCGTGGACGCTGTCTTGCAACAGAAAGCACTTTTTTCGATTGAAAACAGCTACTGAAGGAAGGTTTCTTTGTTTCGTTCTTGACATTTGACACTCATCGGCTGGCGTAGAATTGTCATGTTGAAGCCTCGAAGGATATGAGCGGCGGCTGCGGGAACGTCTGCGGCAAGAGGTCAGCGGGCAAGCATTTCGGCGACACCCTCATGGGCGGTGTGTCGGGGTCGTCTACAGCCCCGGAGCTTATGTCGGGTCTTATCAAGGGCATCTTCTACGTGGGCCTGGACGCCGCAGGGACCTTGCCGGACAAAGACAAGCTCCAGGTTTGTGTGAGCACCTTCGACTTCATCCACACCAAGTGCCCGGCCCGGAAGCAGAAAGGCTGCAAACTCGTGCCCAACTTCGAAAGACAGACGCGGTGCAGCGGTGTTTGGGAGGCCCTGGGCAAGAACAACGGGGAGTACGTATGCAAAATGCTCGAATGGTGGGATGCCTGCTGCGAGGACAGGGAGCCCCTTCCCCTTGAGGAGCAGTCCTGTGCAGGCTGTGGCCAAGATATGTACTTCTGCAACTGTGCCAACATCGGCGACGGTGTGAGGCCCACGCATTAGTAGGATGCCGGAGCACACGAAAATGCAGCACTGGACCGGAAAAAAAGGCGTAGACTGGGCTTGCAGCAGTTCCCAACTTGGAGGTTCATGGGTAGTTATAAGTAGGTTATAGCAGGGTAACTACACTTCTAACCCATATTAAGGGACTTATAACCCCTACCCATAACTACCCCTGAACCTCCAAGAAGGCCCTAAACCCTATACCCCTCTAGAATTCCTATAGATCCCTTTAAAGGGACCCTGAAAGGAACCCCCTGTAACTACCCCTGAACCTCCAAGAAGGGTTCAGGGTTCGGCGGTCGGAAGGCCGCAACCCATGGCCGGTCGCGTAATACTGTTGATGATATAAATCCTGCATTACTTTAAGGACCCTAAACTATGGGAATTATGGTATATTCCTTATTATGGGTCATGCAGGATTTATATCATCAACCGTATTTCGTAGTCTATGCTTGGGGAGGGTCTTTAGGGGACCTAGTAAGTAGGGGGCTCCTTTAACGGGGATTCTAAATGTTCCTTTAACGGGCTCAATAAGGGCACTATAGGGTTTAGGGTTTAGGGGTTTAGGGTTTAGTAAGTAGGTAGTAAGTAGACTTATAAGTACCCTAAAAGGGACCCTAATTGGGGTTATGGTACTTATAAGTCCCTAAAATAACTACTTACTAAGTCCCCCGACCCTCCAAGTGGTCAGGGCTGAATTTGCCAAACGAAGTTGGCCTCAGACGGCAAATCGGAAAAGTTACTTCACGAATATTTTCCGAATAGCTCCCATGAGCATCCCGGGAGCAGTCTTTCGTTGGCGGACACCGCGGTCTTTGGGTTCTGCATGTCCAAGAGCTATGCTCGCCGAGGCGGATAGGTAAGGTTTAGGGCGTAGGGTTTCAACTTTGACTGCAAGCTTTGCAACTGTGCAGGGCAGTGACGCCTCGTGGCTGAAGGTGTGCACGTAGCAGAACAGGGCTTTTGATTTGCAAACTGTTGCTCTTATCTGAGAGGGGTGTGATATTGAAGGGTTTTTCATCAAGATGTGGGTGGTTGTCAAAATTAGGGTCCCTTTTTGGTTCCCTCATATAATACGGCACCTACTATTTGGGGTACCCCAAAAGGGACCATAATTTTGACAACTACGCATGTGATTCGTTTGCCGTGCTTCCCAGTTTCTTGTTTCGGGTTGGTTCTTGACGTGGTCGCCTTGCCGCTGCTGTTGCCAACGGACCACGACAGTTCCCACAATTCCTTTTAGGAAAGGTGCCAGTTTCGATTTGTTTGCGATACTTCAGGAAGATGCTGCTTGGCTCCTGTCTTCTCTGATTTGTTTTGTTTTTATTTGGCACCAACCGCGTTGAACAAACTGAGAGAGAGAGGGACCTTGCAGCAACCAAGGTTCCGTTTGTTCCAGCTTTACAGTGTCGTCGTCTTGGCTTCCCTTCGCCAAAGTGCTTCGGTGCGTCCAGCCCGAAACATGGACGACCAGGCCGATGCCATGCAGGCCGAGGGGTGTGATCCTTCGGTTTGGAGTTTCCTACGCTTCTCAATTACGGCAAGGAATACATTGAAGAAGGGTATGTATAGTGTATTCTGATTTTAATCTTGAAGGCCTCCCCGAAAAGGAAGCACACTTCATAAGCAAGCCCCAAGTGAATCTTCAAGAAAGCAGCCCAGACCCACCTAGCACAGGCACTTCGCGACCCCCCCGAGTCTCACGGTCACGCTTGAACTCTGATCTGCCCCCCCCCGCCTGCCTCAACCGCCCCCTCCGTCCCTCCCTGAATTCCCGAACCCAAAAGCCCAAACACAGAAACCCTGCATGTTGACACCCTCCCCTAAAACCTAAAGCGCAGGAGCAACCGTAAAGCCTGGAGCCTAAACTTCTACGCAAAGAAGCCCTACTTGGAGGTTCATGGGACTTAGCAAGTACAGTTATTATAGGTACCCTAATTGGAGTTATAAGTGAATGTTACTAATTATGGTTCCCTCGTTTATAACCCTACTAAGTCCCACGATCCTCCAAGTGGCCAGGGCAGCTCCCAGCCTCAGCTCCAGAGCAACGCGACTCGAGCTGGCGCCTTGGCACCGGTGAGGGTTTGGGGCTCAGTAACGCCCGAAATCCCAAAACTCCTGAACCCTGAGACCTGAATCCTAGAGCCTATAGACCCTAAAGCCCCAAACCCCGAAGCCTAAACCCTAAACCCTAAGCCCTACCCCTGATCCTTGAACCCTGAACCCTAGACACTTCACCCCTCCAGCGTTGCAAGAGGAACTTTTTGAGGGCACGTTATTTAGGGTCTTTGCAGGCTTTTGTTAAGTACAAAGCGCTTCGTAAGGAACTTTGCAGGCTTTTTTTGTCAGCTCTTCTCCCAGGGTTTCAGTTTCAATTTCGCCCTTCTCCCAGGGTCTCAGTTTCAATTTCAGCTTTGTATCTTTCTTTGCACCATGGCAGCAGCTATGAAGCAGTAGTCAGCTCTTTTTTGAACATGCGCTGCGGCCCAGACGTATCTGCGCCTGAGGATTTTCGAGGGTCAATTTGGCCTCTCAGAGCTCGGCTCTTACCCTAAGCCTTAAAACTTAAACCCTCAGCCCTAAAACCCTAAACCCAAATCGAGAAGTGTACCAACTTAAAAAAAAACCCTAAACCCTAAACCTTAAGTCAGAGCCGGAGCCTACTTGGAGGTTAAGTAGGGTTATAAGCAGGGTAACTATACTTAGAACCCATATTAAGGGACTTATAACCCTACTTATGACTACCCCTGAACCTCCAACTATGAGAAAGCTTCAGCAACCCCGAAACCCTAAACCCTGGGCGGAGGAGGTTTCCGGAGGGGAGCGCTTAAAGGAAGCCTAATAGCGGGCTCCCCAGAGATCCCAATACCCCCCTTACTGAAAGAATATACCTTAAACCGTAACATTAAGGCCCCCGTATCCTAAGGTATATTCCTTAATTATATACGGGGTGTTGGGGTCTGTGAGTCCTTTATGGTATCTATAATACAAGGTATATTCCTTAATTTAGGGGCTATTGGGATCTCTGAGTCCTTGATGGTATCGCAAAGGACCTCCCTACCCGGCCTGCGATAAGACGAAGTCCATCGCAGCGCAGATCCCGGCAGTGCAATGCTCCTGTGGCGAACCGATGAAAGGTGTGGACACCGGCGCTGTGAAAAGAAGGCTTTGGTTTCATTCTTGGTTTGTTTCACACTCGTCGAAGAGTGTTTAGCCCTTTCCGTGGCTGTGATGTTGAAGCCTCGAAGGATATGAGCGGCGGCTGCGGGAACGTCTGCGGCAAGAGGTCAGCGGGCAAGCATTTCGGCGACACCCTCATGGGCGGTGTGTCCGGGTCGTCTACAACCCCGGAGCTTATGTCCGGTCTCATCAAGGGCATCTTCTACGTGGGCTTGCACGCCACGGGAACCTTGCCGGACAAAGACAAGCTCCAGGTTTGTGTGAGCACCTTCGACTTCATCATGCGCAAGTGCCCGGCCCGGAAGTTCAAATGCAAAATGGTGCCCAACTTCGACAGACTCCCCCGGTGCAACAAGGTTTGGGACGCCCTCGGCAAGAACAACGGGGAGTACGTCTGCGAAATGCTCGAATGGTGGGATGCCTGCTGCGAGGACAGGGAGCCCCTTCCCCTTGAGGAGCAGTCCTGCGCAGGCTGTGGCCAAGATATGTACTTCTGCAACTGTGCCAACATCGGCGACGGTGTGAGGCCCACGCACTAGTGGCCCAGGCACTGGTAGGATGCCGGACGACGATTACAGCTCTCGGAAAACGCATGTCCGATGAGTTCCGATTCCGGCTCTGCCCCCTTCCTCGAGGGCATGTCAGGATCCCCCCATGCCATCCTCATGAAAGGTGGGAGGGCTCTGGAAGTAGGCTAATGCGCGCCTTAATTGGTGTTAGTGTTATAGCCTCCTTACTCCCCGCACCAAGGACAGAGCCCTTGTAAAACTTCATAGAGCAGTGCAAAGCTTTATCCTGTTATCCACAGGGTGAGTGAGTGTGTGTTTCGGGCCAGCTCAAGAGGGTTTGGGGTTGAGGGTTTAGGCTTTAGGACTTAGGGTCGAACTTTCAGGGTATAGGGTTTAGGGTTTAGGGCTTAGTGAAGTCTTGCAAACCCCTGCATCCCCGAGCTTTTCCACAATCCTTGCACCCCTTGTAGTCTAAACCCTAAACCCTAGGATGTGAAATCCAAGCGCAGGTGAAGTCTAGCTGCGGAGAGGCGAGATTCAGTTTGCAAAGGTGGTTGAGACGTTGAGGTTTGGGATCTAGGGCCTAGGGCTTCGAGTCATCCTACAATGGTGCTAGTCACTAGCCTATGAGTACTCCCTTCACCGCACCGCCCAGCTCTTGGCACTTACGTAAAACATTGGAATGGTTGCATGATCGTAACCAGTTCCACCACGTGAGTTGATGCCGGAGAAACCTTTCTTTTTCATCGTCTGTAGCCCCCCGACGAGTCTGGGCCTCAGTCGGTTTGTAGGGACATTTCATGAGGGAGAGGACTAATCTTCGGATTCATGAGGGAGAGGACTAACCTTCGGGCTATACTGGGCCACCCAGAGACTCCAATACCCCTTAATTAAGGAATATACCTTAAAGTATAGTAGGGTCCCTAATATGATTTAAGTATCTTCCTTAATGAAGGGGTATTGGAGTCTCTGGGCCAGGACGAGAGCTGCTTTAGCCGAGCATTTCTCGTGATCTGATGTACAGTCTTGCACGTAACGTGGGTTTTATCAGCGTGGGCTTCACTCACTTTTAGAACCCCGAAAAGAACTTTGCAAATGAGCCTTGATCCTTTTTGCTGCCTGGTTAGAACCATTAGAGGAACACTTATAGTACCCTCTATAACAACATCAAGACCGTATGTGCAGCCTTGTCTGAAGGAGTCCCGAGACAGGGAACCGCTACGGTATACAGTACTCTAACCAAGATGTCGTAATCATCAGCAGACCACCCATTGCGTCAGTGTCGTTTCCTGCACGATACCCTGAACCTTA